TAGTCTAACATTCAGATCAAAAAGGAAATCAAATTTACTAGGTGGTCCAATAAGTGAATTTGATTTAGCAAGGCCAATGGACACAAATTCAATTTGTAAAATAATTGATTTCTATATACTAGTAACAAACAATTGGAAAATTTTAAAACACCGATTGTAATAGCAAAATATCAAGTATTTGGGCATGAATTTTAACAAAATATGTGTTACAAAATTGCTGAGAGAAATGAAGCTGGATTCCATAAATGAAGAGATTTAATGTGTTTATAGATTGGAAGAATCAATACTGTTAAGTCAATCTCTTGTGTTAATCTACAGATTCAATGCAACTCCAAACAATTTCATGGTGATATGAGTAGTGGTTATCCTTGGGGAGGATTGACTAGGAGAGAGGACAAAGGACCCTTCTAAGATTCTGGAAATGTTCTGTACCTTGATCTGGGTGATAGATATAAAAGTTTGTATGTATGTAAAAATAATTAAATGTATGTAAGATTTAGCTCAGGTTTAAAATGAAAAGCATGAATTGGGCTTTTATTTTAAGAACATTATGCCATAATTTGGCTTCAAAGTCGAGGTAGAGGAAACAATTTTATAAGGTTATTGCAAACCCAAAACTCATGAAGGTGATTAAAAAGACATGTGCCTGGAACAGTCTGACTCTAGGAAGGAATCTGATTCAATCCAGGGGTTATTAAAATAAGATGAAAAATATTAATTTGTCTAACTTTTAGGAGAGAAGTGAAAGAATGAAAATTAAAGGAAGTTAAGACTGGGAAGTGAGTTTTTCACAGAAGTTTGGTTGACAGTCTAGCAGGGTTTTTTTTTTTTTTTTTTTTTTAAAGAGATCAAAAACTAACTTTATATGGAAACGCACAAAACTTGGGCCAAGACAATCTTGAACAACAAACATGGAGTACTTCATCAGACTTCAGAACTAAGCGATTAAACTAAATAGTCAAAACAGTGGTATTGTTGTAAAAATAGTTAAGTAAATCAGTGGAACAGAATTGAGACATAGACCTACATGTCTGTTTTTAGACCCATGCTTGGATTTTTAATTAATTAATTTTTTTGCAGTATTGGGGATTGAACCCAGGGCCTTGTGCATTTTAAGTAAGTGCTCTACCACTGAGCTAAGTTCACTGCCAGCCCTTTTAAAAAAAATTTACTTTGGGACAATGTCTCTCTAAATTGCCTAGGCTGGCCTCAAATTTGCCTCCAGAGTAGCTGGGACTACTGGAGTGCACCATTGTTCCTTGCTAGGATCACTTTATATTTGACAAAGGTGCTATTGCAGTTCAGTGGGGAAGAGAAAGATCTTTCAATAAATAGAGATGAAGCAACTGGATATCTATATGGGGGGAAAATGAACCTGCCTGACATCAAATGATGTCAAAATTAATTTCAGATGCATAATAGATCTAAGTATGAGAGAAAACTACAAAATTTCTGAAAAATACAGAATTCCAGGTGTGATGGTGCATACTTGTGATCCCAGTGACTGTAGGCTAAGGCAGTAGGATTGCAAGTTTGAGGCTAGCCTGGGCAACTGTTTCAAAAAATCAAAAAAGGGCCAGGCATGGTGGCACAGACCTGTAATCCCAGTGATTGGGGAGGCTGAGGCGGGAGAATCAGAAGTTCAAGGCCAGTCTCAGCAATTTAGTGAAGACTTGTGAACTTAGTGAGATCCTGTCTCAAAATAAAAAAATAAAAAAGACTAGAGATGTAGCTCGGTGGTAAAGCATAAAGTGCCTCTGGGTTTAATCTTCAGTTAAAAAAAAAAGGCTAGAGATGTAGGTCAGTGATAGAGTGCTCCTGGGTTAAATCCTAGTATGCAAAAAGAAAAGGGAAAAAAAAGAGAGAGAGAAAAGATACAAAAGAAAACCTTCATGACATTTGGGGTAGGCAATGATTTTTTTTTAGTATGATATAAAAAAATACCATAAAATAGCTGGGCACAGTGGCTCATATCTGTAATCCCAGCTGAGACAGGAGGATCTGGAATTCAAGCCATCCTCAGCAATGGCAAGGCACTAAGCAACTCAGTGAGACCATATCTCTAAATAAAATACAAAATAGGGCTGGGGATGTGGCTCAGTGGCTGAGTACCTTTGGGTTCAATCCCCAGTAACAAACAAACAAACAAACAAACCCACCACTAAAAATCTCAAAAACTCAAAATCAAACAAAGGAACATAAAATAATTCAATTGCACTTCATCAACAATTGAAATAAGTTTATTGCAAGCCCAAAACTCAAGAAGGTGATTAAAAAGGCATGTCGAAATACAAAATTTCCACTCATCAAAAGATTAAGAAAGTGAAAAGGTAAGCTGCCATCGGGAGAATACATTTTCAGTGTATATGTCAGCTTTAAGAGAAGTGCTTGTGAACAAGCAACTCACAAAAGAGATCCCAATGCCCACTAAACACAAGAAGAGTGCTCAACATCACTACTGGACAAAGAGGTGCAAAAACATACTACAAGGAGATGTCACTGCACACCCTCCAGAAAGGCAAAATTTAGAAACTGATGAGGTGGGACACACAGTGGTTGGGAATCCCAGCTACTTAGAAGCTGAGGCAGGAGGATTAAACTTCAAGGTCAGCCTGGGCAATTTAGAGAGATGGTGTCTGAAAATAAAAGTAAAAAAGAGGATGTAGCTCAGTGATAGAGGACCCTGGGTTCCATCCCCAGTACTGCAAAACAAACCACAACAAAAACCAGATTGCCAACCTATGACCCAGAAATTTGTTGTTTTTTTAAAATTTTTTATTGTTGGTTGTTCAAAACATTACATAGTTCTTGATGTATCATATTTCACACTTTGATTCAAGTGGGTTATGAACTCCCATTTTTACCCCGTATACAAATTGCAGAATCACATCAGTTACACATCCATTGATTTACATATTGCCATACTAGTGTCTGTTGTATTCTGCTGCCTTTCCTATCCTCTACTATGCCCCCTCCCCTCCCCTCCCCTCTTCTCTCTCTACCCCCTCTACTGTCATTCATTTGTCCCCCTTGTATTATTTTTCCCTTTCCCCTCACTTCCTCTTGTATGAAATTTTGTATAACCTTGAGGGTCTCCTTCCATTTCCATGCAATTTCCCTTCTCTCTCCCTTTCCCTTCCACCTCTCATCCCTGTTTAATGTTAATCTTCTTCTCATGCTCTTCGACCCTACTCTGTTCTTACTCTCCTTATATCAAAGAAGACATTTGGCATTTGTTTTTTAGGGATTGGCTAGCTTCACTTAGCATAATCTGCTCTAATGCCATCCATTTCCCTGAAAATTCTATGATTTTGTCATTTTTTAATGCAGAGTAATACTCCATTGTGTATAAATGCCACATTTTTTTTTTAATCCATTCGTCTATTGAAGGGCATCTAGGTTGGTTCCATAGTCTGGCTATTGTGAATTGTGCTGCTATGAACATCGATGTAGCAGTGTCCCTGTAGCATGCTCTTTTTAGGTCTTTAGGGAATAGACCCAGAAGGGGAATAGCTGGGTCAAATGGTGGTTCCATTCCCAGCTTTCCAAGAAATCTCCATACTGCTTTCCAAATTGGCTGCACCAATTTGCAGTCCCACCAGCAATGTACAAGAGTACCCTTTTCCCCACATCCTCTCCAGCACTTGTTGTTGTTTGACTTCATAATGGCTGCCAATCTTACTGGAGTGAGATGGTATCTTAGGGTGGTTTTGATTTGCATTTCTCTGACTGCTAGAGATGGTGAGCATTTTTTCATGTACTTGTTGATTGATTGTATGTATGACCCAGAAATTTGTACCAAAAAGAAATGAATTCACAAAAGACTTGTACAAAGATGTCAATAACAGCTTTATCAAATTGGAAATAACACAAATACCTATTAGCAGGAGAATAAACTTTGATATATATTCATGAATCAAATATTACATGTCAGGAGGATTCTGAGTTCAAAGCCAGCCTCAGCAACACCGAGGCATTAAGCAAGTCAGTGAGACCCTGTTTCTAAATAAAATACAAAATAGGGCTGGGGATGTGGCTCAGTAATTGAATGCCCCTGAGTTCAAACCCCAGTACAAAAAAAAAATAGTATATAAACATACTGTATATTTTATATAGGCATACAAAGCTATACTCAGAGGAAACTTTATAGTCATATTTTCATTATTACAAAGATTGAAAATAAATGGACTTTGTACTTCAATAAGCTGTTTTAAAGATAACAATGAACAAAAATGAAAATTATAAGGTTGAAATGGAAATAGAAAATAAAAATGTAGAAAAACGAGTAAAATGCTATTTCTTTGAAAATATGAATAAGATAGAGCAACTAATAGGTTTAGAGAGTATCTATTTTCAATCAGTGGGTCTCTGATTTTTTTCCTCTTTAAACTTTGATTCTGTGTTAATAAAACCACACTAATGGAAATTGATGCGGGCGGGGTTCATTCATTTAGAATTAAAAATAAAATCTATTGACCATCCATATCCCTAATATACTGTTGTACTTCATCAATTGAAATAAGTTATTGCAAACTCATGTGACTGATAAGACCAAGTCTTGAGGACTATGACCTCAGCTGCCATTTATGCAGCAGGTAGAAGATGCCAGGCCTTTCATACACGTGGGCTTGTGTTAGTGTCACGATGGCTACTGCCAGGTAGGTCTATAACTTGGAGATGAAGTCAACCCGGGTTTCCAGATAAATTGTGGCTGTGAATTAGGTCTGACTCAGGCTTCCCTAGGTCAGGAAGGTATGAGGGGCGGGGGCGCGTTCGCAAGTCAAATTCGCTCTGGGTGTCTATGAGCAAAGGCCAGAAGCGCGGTCCAGGTAGACCTTTTGGACCCAGCCCGGCAGGTGCATGCCCTCAGACGGAGTGGGTGGGGGCCCCGTCCAGCGGGCAGGCTGGGTGTAGGCAGGTGCAGCCCGCCCGACTCTGGCAGACCGGCGCAGCGCCCCCTGGGCCTGCAGGTTGGCAAGAGGCGGGGGCGCGCGCAGAGCGGCGGGGGCGCGCTGGGCTGCGAGGCCTGCGCGCTGGGCTGCGGGAGACATGCGGCGGGCTAGGAGCGCTGTGGCTACCAAACCGCGCGGGCAGAAGCGGTCGGGTGCCTCCGGGACCCCAGTGGTCGCCTCCTCGGGTCCCAGCAACAGCCGGGCACGGCGCTCCGCGAGCAAAGCCGGGAGCGGGAGTCCGGCAGCCACCAGACAGCCGTCGGCGAAGCGGCGGCCGAAGCCTTCGCTGCCGCGGGCCCAGGAGGCGGGCCCGGAGGAGCCGCCGCCGCCGCCGCCGGCTGAGCAGGCGTTGCTCCCGACGCCACCGCCGCCTCCGCCGACCCCCGCGACCCCGACGTCCTCGGTGTCCACGCTGGACCTGGGCGAGCAGCGGGAGCGCTGGGAGACGTTCCAGAAACGTCAGAAGCTGAGCTTCGAGGGCGCCGCCAAACTCCTGCTGGACACCTTGTGAGTGAGTGCGTGCGGGCTGGGCCGGGCGGACGGCAGTGGGCTCCACGCTGACGCCCCTGGGCTTAGAGTCGGGCTGGCGCAGATCGCCTCCCTGCCAGCGTGCGGGCTGCAGGCACCTTTCCGCTGTGCGTCTGCCACGTAACGGCGCCGACGCACCCCCGGGTATAGCGGTGGGTTTGGCCCTAATTCTAAGGGCCTACCGGGATAGAGAGGGTCTTTGTTAGAGCCCGCGCTTGGCTTTCTTGGTTGGCATACAAAGGGTCTCTCCTGGCCACCAGCGTCGTGCTCGGGACGTTGTGTTGAAGGGTGCGAGGGACCTTTCCCCGTGACTAGGATATAAACCTCACGATTTCTCTTATACCCGAACTCCTTTGTTATTATTATTATTATTTGCATTAACACATGTGTTTTTGGAGGGTGGACAAGAGGGAAAAAGCAGAGGGAGGGAGAGAAGCGTTAACGGCTCGCGAGCCCACTGGGGAGCGAACTCCCGTTATTGTTCCAGCAGGCCTGCGGAGGAGGGGGTGGGGGCGGGGACTGTTGATCCCTGAGAGAAGTGCGCGCAAAGCAGGGCCCCGGAGGTTGGCGGCAGGGTTCGAGGCTTAGTGTCCTCCAACAAAAGGGGCTCCCTGGTGGCTTTCTGACCATTCCGCTTCCCCATCTCTACTTGTGAAAGAAAAAAACCGCCATCATTTTAGCTGGAGAAAGGAGCATCTCGGTGGTCCATGATGTAGGAAAGAGACATTATTCTATCAAGGATTGCCATCTTCTCCAAATGGGATGTAAAAACCCTTGTGCTTTAGAGGCATTTTTAACATCCTAACGATATATATATCAGTGCCATTTTTAAAAATGAATTGAACAATCTGGGAACTGAGACTGAGTAACCTAACAATTGTGGAACAACTTTAGGATTATTCCAAAAGAAAATGTCATTGTTCCAGAAGAAATTCCCATAGTTTTGGTGCATCTTCGCAGAGACTACTTATTTATTTATTTATTTATTTATTTTTTGTGTGTGCGCTTCACTTTTTCATCTATCGTCTGGGGATATAAATTGAACATTTAAAAAAAAGATTTATCCATCAAACATTTTTTGAGCCACTTGCTACTGGTGGGTATAGGGATATAAAGAGCCTTAGAAATGTAAAACTCAAATTTGAGATTTTTTTTTTTTGGTTAATCCTACACCAAACTGAAAAAGATATTAAAATATTGACATAAAAGACTAAATGTTTTTCATCCATCAGATTGGTATGAGCATGTACTTTATTTTTAAGTCATTAATTTTGTGCAAAAGTGTATAAAACGTGGTTTTTATTAAAATATTGAGTAGAAAAAGTTGGAGGGAATATGTAGTAAATAGTGGATCCCTTTTGCTGTAAAGATTACAGGAGACTTTTCATTTTGAATGCCATCAAATATGGTGGTTTGGGTTTTTTACAATAACCATTATGTATATGCAAGTAGAAATTGAAATACATTAACTTCTAAAGAAACGTGAAAAAACTGTTGTTGCAATCATATAATGGTAATTAAAGCTGCAGTGAGCTCTTTCTGTGATTATTGCTTAAAAGGTTCAGTGAAATATTTTCTCATTCACTGTTGATAAGAGTATCAGTCCTTTTGGAAAGTGATTTCGTATTTTATTCATCTTAATGTTCAGTTGTAGCTTATGTTTTTAAAGGATCAAATTGTATGTAATGTGTTTATAGTTATATAAAAAGTCATGTTTATGAAAGATCCTGGAGAAGAGAGCAGAATTATAAGAGCCTTTGTTATTGTCCCAGAAGACTTTTCTGAACCACCAGATCCAGTTTGGTGCCCTGTCTTGCTTTTCTGAAGCAGCCTATATGATCTTGATTACAATCATAATTAAATATTATTTGGACAATTTGTTTTGATTTGCTTAAGGTTGGTAAAGGCAGCAACTATGTTGGCTGTGTTTTGTGTATTGCTCTCTCTTTGACTCATAAAAAGTTTTATTAGCCATTTGAATAAAAATGTTGGGGTGGTGAAATTAGGCTTCTTTCTTTTCCCTCTACTTTCTGAATTCTAGAAATATTTTTTTAGTTTAATAAATTTAAGAAACAGCACAAAGAGCTGTGGACAAAGGCACTGAATCCATTCTTTTATAAAATTGACTGTGCCTCCTTAAAAAGCAGATATGCATTTCTTTGTCCTGTAGAAAAGACTTTTGTTCTATCTTGCCTTTCTTTCAACAACAAAAAGAGAGAGTGCACAGGAGCCATGCCATAAGGCCCCTGCCAGACTATTCAGAAATTCTTTATCTTTTGATTTTTGTTTCATTTAGTGAATACCAGGGCCTGGTGAAGCACACAGGAGGCTGCCACTGTGGAGCAGTTCGTTTTGAAGTTTGGGCCTCAGCAGACTTACATATCTTTGATTGCAAGTGAGTATTTTCTTTACCTAAATTGGCTTAAAAGAACTTAAGAGTAAAAATGCAGTGGTTTTTTTTTTTTTTTTTTCAGAATAATTTGGGGAGTTGTGTATATAACATTGGTCATGAGCTGGTAATGTTGAAGTCAGCTGGTGGGTACATAAAGGTTCATTGTTTTATTCTTTATTTTTAGGTATGGCTTGAAATTTTCAATAATAAAAAATGTTAGAGAAGAGGCTAAAAATAATAGCCTGTTTGTGTGTATGAGAGAGCAGGATAGAGAGAGAGAATGTTCAGGAGCTTGTGTGTGCCACAGATTTCCCACAGCACAGCCCCAGGTGACACAGAACAGGTTTCTCAGGGCTTGTGGCTGAGAATCACCCTTCAGATTGATATTGTTGATGATTTGGGAGTGATTAGCTGAAAATGAATCCGTCTGGACACTGTGTAAAAAGCCTTGGGCAGAGTCTTTTATAGGAGTCAAGAGTTGGGGAGAGATGGAATATACACCTGCAAATTCCACATGCGCTGGACCTCTGTTCTTGGGATGAGGCAGATGGTACCACCAGGATGTGTAGAGGGCCTGCTTCTTAGCACCTTCTCTGTCATTATAATAGAGCAAGACAACAGGCTCTGGCTTCTGGACCAGTCATTGGCATTACCTAATTATTCAACAGTATCCTGTTCTTTTTGACTCTGAATGGTACCTAAATGGTTTATGAATAATCAATACTGTGGAATTACTCAAATGGACTAACAGAGTCCAGATCTGGAAAGAAGCATTGAGGAATAATTCGTTATAGAATCCTGTACTAAGTCAGAATTTTTAAGAGGTGGCTTAAAAGATTCAGGGTATAGCTCAGTAGTGGAGTGCCTGCTTAGTATTTGCAAGGCCATGGTTCACTGTCCCCAGCATGCACACACACACAACATATATTCCCAAAGAGACACACATATGGTGGGCTAAAAAGATGGGATTTTGATTTAATTTCCAATTTGGTATTTTTGGGGACCTGTTTTACTTGAAGCTAGATTTACTCTCTGGTATGGAGATGAGGAAAAAGCAAAACCTAAGCTTCCATGTCTGTTTTTGAAGCATAAGTTTAGAGCAATGTCTGAAATTTGCTTTTTTAAATGTTTTTAAAATCCAATGTTTTCTTTCACTCTAGTGATCTAGGGGGTGAGTGTCCTGTTAGTCCTGGATTTTTGAATGGGACATGGCTTCTACTGCTAGGTTTGGGGCAGGCAGGCTCCACTGCTACACAAAGCAGAGGCACCAGGTGGCCAGTCCATCTGCCTCAGCTCCCTCCTTCCTGGGTAATGCTGAAAGGGGTATTCCCTTTGAGGTCAGATGGTTCTTTAAACATATCAGGCTGGGCTTCTTGGGCACACAGGATGCAGATGGCTGTTCACAGTCTGGAATTTACTCTTTCTTATTGTAGCTGCAGCATTTGCAAGAAGAAGCAGAATAGACACTTCATTGTTCCAGCTTCTCGCTTCAAGCTCCTGAAGGTTAGTGCTTTTATAATAAGAGTAGGGTAAGGGAGGGCAGTATCCATGTGTGATGATTTGTGAACTCCAACTTCTAGCACACCCTCTATAGAGTGGGAGGGGCAGGGAGCATAGCAGGGCTTCTCAGGGGCTTCGGTTTCCCTTTTAATCCAGGTTTTATGTTTACTTTTTAAAGATAATGTTATTTTTGCCCCCTTCCTTTTTTTTTTTTTTTTTAATGGTACTGGCAGTTAAACCCAGTGCCACACGTGGGCTGGGCAGGCACCCTACCACTGTGCCATCTCCCCAGCCCCCTTTGATTTAAAAAGGCATATTTGATCTTATTGTGGAAATATTTTCAAATTCAGAGACTCAAAAAAATAAATTTGTTGGGAGTGGTGGCACGTGCCCATAATCCTATTACTCAGGAGGCTAAGGCAGAGGATGCAGCCTCAGCAACTTAGCCAGACCCTGCCTCAAAAAATAAAAAGCAGCTGGGCATAGTGGTGCATGCCTTTCAGTGAATTTAGAGGTTGAGGCAGAAGGATCAGTTTTAGGGAAGCCTTGGCAACTTAGACTGTGGCTTAAAATTAGTGAAAAAGGGCTAGGTTAAAGCACCCCTGGTTTTCCCCCCTAGTACTATAAAGAATATGCAAGCCAGTAAATGAATAAAGTAAGCTGGAGACATAACTCAGTGGTAAGTACCCCAGTATTACAGAAATAAGTTAATTAATCAGTTAAAATCAAAGATAACCATAGTTAATATTTTGGTGCATATCCTTGTGCATTATTTTCTATGCAAATAAATTCATCTAAATATATTATCATGTTTTTATCAAAGTATGACTTTACCATTCATTCTTTTTTTATATTTATTTTTTAGTTGTAGTTGGACACATTACCTTTATTTTATTTATTTTTATGTGGTGCTGAGGATTGAACCCCCACATGTGCCAGGCGAGTGCTTTACCACTGAGCTACAACCCCAGTCCACAAGTTTACTATTCATTCTATAACCATTTTTGTCATTTTCTAATGAAAAACTTACCATGATTTTATTACTTTTATTTTGAGGAATTTTTTTGCACTTGGTACAGAATTAGCAAGGTAGAAGAAAATATGTGTGTACGCAGTGAAAAGTCACCCTCCACTGTTCCACAGGCCCCAGTCTCCACTCACTGTCATCCACTTCTTAATTGACTTCTCCCATGATTCCTGTATTTGCAGCCCTGGACTTGAAGGTCTTCTTCAGGTTTTTGTTTTATTTTCCTCAAATTATAAACATCACTGTAATGAACTTCTCTGAGGATAAATATTTGACAATTTAGAATCTTTTTCTTTGGGATCAATTTCCTTAGAAATAAAAAAAATCTCTGGGTCAGAAAATCCAAAATTATAAAAGGCTTTTACCACTTCCTAAGTAATGTGGGTGGGGCAGGGCTTTAAGTCCATTCTCCATTCTTACTTCTCCTATCATGGTCTCTGGGAGTTTTGCTGTAAGACTGTCTCCTTTACTAGACTGCAAGTGTCTCCAAGGCAAGTACAGACTTTTTTGTGTGTCTGACCCAGTTCTTGGCCAGGTGGGCTTGGCACTGAGTGGGCTGTCACTGAATTCACAAGGATGGTCTTGAGTCCTGGTTAGTGAGATTACATTCAAAATGTGCAAGGCCATTCATTTTTCTTCTTCCTCCTTTTTTTCTTTTTTTTACTTTTTATTTGAGATAGGTCTCGCCATGTTGCCCAGGCTGGCCTCAAACTCCTGGGCTCTAGCAATCCTGTCTCCTGAGTGGCTAGGATTATAGGTGTGCATCACTATGTGCTTGTCTTTGCCTGCCCTGTAACCCTTGAGTGACACCTTTCTTTGTGTGGGGTATCTGGTGACAGGGAGGTACTCCAGGTGGGCAGCATTCTTGTTCTTCATCTTTCCTTTACCTATAGAAGAGCACAAATGTGTGTCTATAGCCTTCTGGCAGCTATGGTCCCCCCTCAGTTTTTTTCCTCAAGCATCCATTATAGCTGGTTCTAAATATACCACCAGGGGCAGCCCTGTGCTCCTTGGTCGGGAATTGATGTTTAGGAAGATTCTTCTTTGGATCTACTTGACCACATGTCTTCCTGGTGCTCTAGGACACTATTTGCTTCTTCTGTTCCACCCCATCAGAGGATCAATTTTCTGCTTTTTAACATTTTTTTAAAAAGTAAATACAAAATGTATTTATTCAGATATTTACAGGAGCCTGGTGCAGTGGTGCACACCTGTAATCCCAGCAGCTCTGAAGACTGAAGCAAGGAGGATCAGGAGTTCAAAGCCAGCCTCAGAAAAAAAGCAAGGAATTAAGCAACTCAGACCCTGTCTCTAAATAAAATACACAATAGGGCTGCAATGTGGCTCAGTGGTCGAAAGCCCCAAGTTCAATCCCTGGTATGCCTACACCCAAAATCAAATATTTATGGGGCACTGTTCTGAAACATACCAGTTAACATGACAGACAGGACCCTTGTGCTGGAGTTTACATTCTGCAGGTGGGGAGATCAATAAAATGCTGTTGCAAAGAGTTAAAGTGGAGCAATCTGATAGAAGAAATGGATGGCTACTTTAGCTTGGTTAGGAAAGGTCCCTTTGAGGTGTTCGATCACATGATAAAGACAGTGGAGGGTCATGGGCAAAAGTGTTCTAGGCAAAGGGGACAGCCTGTACCAAGGGCTTGAGCTTAGCATGTTAGGGAGCTGAACAATGGCCATTGTGACTGGTGGGCAGTAATTAGGGTATGAGTGGGGGAAAGTGGCCCTGGGTTCAATCCCCAGTACAACAACAAACAAACATACAAAAAACTCTAGGATTACAGGCGTGCGACACTGCAACCGGCTTCACTCCCTGTCACTCCCTGACTTCTACAAGGCATTCTGTCTTACAGTGGGTCAGGAAAGGCTGAAGGCTGGGTTATTCCTATGAGAGGCCATGAGCTGTCACTTTCCAGAGTGACATATCCCCAAGCTTCCTGAAGAAGCTTCCAATCTTTTGTGGGAGTTGGGACCTGTCCTCATACTGCTGAGAGCCCTACAAAAAGGCTACCCCCATTGAGCCTTTTAAAAGATTTATTTTTTAAATGACTTAAGAAATTTTTTTATAAAAAGACTATTTGTTTGTTATAGGGAGCAGAGAGCATAACAACTTACACATTCAATACACACAAAGCCCAGCATACCTTCTGCAAGAAATGTGGTGTTCAGAGCTTCTACACTCCCCGCTCCAACCCTGGCGGCTTTGGTGAGTACAGGGGATGGTTTGCAAACTCTGGGGATGCCGAGAGGCCCAGGGTACTTGAGGTTCAAGCGCTTGGACAGGTGGGCACTAGCTTATTTAGTGTGCCTTCTACCTGGCTAGGTGCTTTCACAGGTGTTAGAACAGAGCTCTTTAGCAGAGCTCTTTGCAAATGGTAGCATCTAAGACTGGTTCTGGTCAAATATTTCATTCCCATATGGCAAAGTCTTTGTTACAGTCCAGCCAAGATTCTATTCTTTGCTGATTCAGAGCTCTGTGCTTCAGGGGCCAACACTGACAAGTACAGAGAGGGCCCATGGGGAGATGGGTCTGTGGAGTCAGGGGAGAGGCCTTGCAGTAACGACAGGGAGTGGAGGCAAGAATGAGGACCATTGTTAATATCACTTTAAATTTTTTTTGAGGGCTTGGGGTGTACTGCAGTGCACGTGCAAGGCCCCAGCACAAAAATTAAGATTATAAAATCCTGTGTGTTCAAAAAACAATCAAGAGAATCTCCAAGGCTGTTTTTGGGTCCTGCTTAGGTCTGGAGAAAATTTCTAAGAGTGCTACAAAGTTAAAACCAACCCTTAGACAGTTTCTTAGAAAAATGCCATTTTCAGTTAGAATGAGGAGAAACTAGAGATTGAAGATGTACCTATACAACCTCTGTGACCAGAACTGTCACCTGCCTTATGTGGAAGGAGGAGAAGGGCAGTACGTCACTCTAGCACCTTTGTACCCTGTTTCTGCAGCAGTTCCCGTGAGACTCCTTCCTCCCTACCTATGGAATAGGATAGTTTATTTTTTATTTTTTATTTTTTTTTATTGGTTGTTCAAAACATTACAAAGCTCATGATATATCATCTTTCATACATTTGACTCAATTGGGTTATGAACTCCCATTTTCACCCCAAATACAAATTGCAGAATCACATTGGTTACACACTCACATTTTTACATAATGGCATATTAGTGACTGTTGTATTCTGCTACCTTTCCTTTCCCCTGCTATCCCCCCTCCCCTCCCCTCCCATCATCCCTCTCTACTTCATCTGCTGTTGTTCAATTCTCTCCCTTGTTTCCCCCCCCTTTCCCCTCACATCCTCTTCTATGTAATTTTGTGTAACATTGAGGGTCTCCTACCATTTCCATATGCTTTCCCTTCTCTCTCCCTTTCTCTCCCCCCACTCGTCTTTGTTTAATGTTAATCTTTTCCTCATGCTCTTCCTCCCTGTTCTTTCTTAGTTGCTCTCTTTATATCAAAGAAGACATTTGGCATTTGTTTTTTAAGGATTGGCTAGCTTCGCTTAGCATAATCTGCTCTAATGCCAGGAATAGGATAGTTTTGAAAAGTATAAAATCCTGTAGAAATTGGAAGGTACTTCAGCTTTATTTTTTGGATACTGGGGATTGAACCCAGGGGTGTTCTACCACTGAGTTACATCCCCAGCCTTTTTTTTTTTTTAATTTTGAGACAAGATCTTACTAAATTGCCCTTGAATTTGTAATCCTCCTGCCTTAGCCTCCCAGGTCTCTGGGATTATAGGACTGTGCTACCATGCCTGGTGGGAGGTATAATCCTTAGAAAGCTAATTTAGCTAATCAGAGGAAAAGCCTGAGAATTCTTCAGGTGACAGTCAAGAGACTGCACTAAGCCTGAGCCTTTCTACTATTTCTTTTTCTCAGTTTGGTTTTGAATGATGTCCAGTCTTGGCCATCATTGGTTCAAGGAATTTGATATCCTGTCTGGCTGTTAAGGACTATAAGCCAGAAAGCTGTGATCAGAGTAGTCTTATAAACTTACACTGCAAGCTGGAGGGTATCACTCAGATATATGGTGTGTAGGACAGTGAATGCTTCAGATAGGGATTTATTTAAGATCCAGTAGTGGGCTGGGGATGTGGCTCAAGCTGTAGCGTGCTTGCCTGGCATGCGCGGAGCGCTGGGTTCGATCCTCAGCACCACATAAAAATAAAATAAAGATGTTGTGTCCACTGAAAACTAAAAAACACAAAAACAACAACAAAAAACCCAGTAGTCTCTGGTTTCGCGCATATTGGGACCTCTCTTTTAAGTGCCATTTCCCCTAGGAATTGCCCCACACTGCCTGGATGAAGGCACCGTGCGGAGTGTCATCACTGAGGAATTCAATGGCAGCAATTGGGAGAAGGCCATGAAGGAGCACAAGACCATCAAGAACATGTCTAAAGAGTGAGCTTCTGCTTCTGCCTTCCTGCAAAGGAGGAAAGAGTGGGGCCAGCAGCTCTCTGGCCCCTGGGGCCCTTCAGTGGGTGCCTTTGATGTGGCTGATCCCAGGCTGGTGGCCTGTGGTCACCTTGGTTTCTCTAGTTTGCTCTAGCTACCAGTTTCTTTAGGCAGCTCTTTGTCCTTCCTCAGCCCGATTTTGATGTAGACTAGTTGACCCTTTTCCTTCTTTTCCCCAACTTTTGTGTGATCTTTTGGAAAATAAATATTTTTAACATTAGTGAAGTCACTGTGGTTCCTCATTTCATTTGTACTTTGATTTTTACTCCTGAGGCCATTCACTGAACAGCACCTATTGAGCACTGTCAAGATGGCTTGTAACTGAAATAGGAAGAGAAGACATATGAACAGTGACTACAACTAGAAGATTGTGCATGACTATGTTCATGTGAACTATGAAGGTACAGATCTAGGAGTTCAAAAGAGGGTTAGTACGGGAAGACTTGGAGGAGGTAGAGTGTAAGTCAGTCACAATTTTTTTTTTTTTTTTTTTTTTTTAGTTGTAGATGGCTATAATACCTTTAGTTTTAATTTATTTATCCTTATGTGGTGCTGAGGATGGAACCTAAGGGCTCAAATGTGCTAGGCAAGCACTCTACCACTGAGCTATAGCTCCAGCCCCAGTCACATTGTTTTTTGAAGGTGAATCAGCTTCTAAACTTTTTTCTTTCTTTAATAGTGGTAAAGTACACATAAAGTAAAATGAATCATCTTAAACATTTTTATAATTCAGTAGTGTTAAATACATTCACATTGTTGTTCATTACCATCACGAATCTCCAGAACTCTCTTTATTTTATTCCTTAGTTGCAGTTGGACACAATACCTTTATTTCACTTATTTTTTTATGTGGTACTGAGGATCAAACCCAGAGTCTCACACATTCAAGGTGAGTGCTCCACTGCTGAGCCACAACCCCAGCTCCCTTCATAACTCTTTATCTTGTAAAACTGAAACTCTGTTCCCATTAAACAATTTTTTCCATTAAACAGTTTTATTCCATTTTATCTAGGAAAGATAGAGGGGAGAAGGAACTGTAAATGGAGGTACAGCAAGTATAGAAGTCAGAATGGACAGTCTTTGTTTTAGTCTCAGGAACATGGGCTTTTGTGTGTGTGTGTGTGTGTGAGAGAGAGAGAGAGAGAGAGAGAACCCAGGGGAGCTCTACCACTGAGCTCCATCTCCAATCCTTGTCATTTTTTATTTTGAGACAGGGCCTGGCCTCGAATTTGTGATCCTTCTCTATACTCTGTGCTCTGCCATGTGTATTTTTAAAATTATGCCAATACATATGCCCTCATCAAATGTTATATGGCATTGTATAGTATGGGTATATTTCCACTTTTTAAAAAAAATTTCAAAAATTTTTATTTATTATTTTGGTTAGAGATGCACACAATACCTCTGTATTTTATTTGTTTTTATGTGGTGCTGGGGATGGAACCCCGTGTTAACCCATTGCCTCAGTGTGCTATGCCAAGTGCTATACTACTAAGCCACAACCACAACCCCTAGTTTATCTTTTTTTTTTTTTAAAGAGAGAGAGAGAGAGAGAGAGAGAGAGAATTTTAATATTTATTGTTTAGTTTTCGGCAGACACAACATCTTTTTATGTGGTGCTGAGGATCGAACCCGGGCCGCACGCATGCCAGGCGAGTGCGCTACCGCTGGAGCCACATCCCCAGCCCTTATCTTTTTTTTTTAATGGAAATTTTGTTGCCTTTTTTTTTTTTTTTAAATATTATACAGTGTTGATGAATATCCTTTTACATGTTTTGTGTATGTGGCTTTTATCTGAGAATATAGATGTGGAATTGCTGGATTGAAGGATATGTATATTTTAAATACTAAAAAACTTCTAAACTTCCTTCAAAGTGTATATTCTGTATGCAAGATCATCAACCTTTAATATAGCAGAGTGACCTCACTGACAGCTTATGTTATCAGTCTTTTTAACTGTGACCACTCTTGGGCAAAAAAGTTTATTTTTAAAATTCCCAACACTGTGATTACCTGTGAGTACCATTTTGGGGTTTAGGGCCATTTTTTATTTTCTGTCCTGTCAGTTACTTGATTGTGTCCTTTGTCCATTTTTCTTTGGGTTATTTTTTGATACATTTATTTAAAAAATTAAATAAGGGATTAATTATATTAATAAATTAATTTTTGGATAATTCTCATATTTTGCAGATATTATCTGTAGCTTATTCTTTTTAGGGTTAAAATTTTTTTAAAAAATATTTTTTAGTTATAGATGGACACAATGTCTTTATTTTTATGTGGTGCTGAGGACCAAACCCAGGGCCTCACACATTCGAGGCAAGAACTCTACCACTGAGCTACAACCCCAGCCCCAGGGTTCAAATTTTTAAAAGTATTTATGTTTGTGGTACTGGGGAATGACCCCAAGGGTGCACTGAATATCCCCAGTCCCCTTTTACATGTTTTATTTCGAGACAGGGTTTCACTATGTTGCTGAGGCTGACTTCAAATTTGCAATCTCTTAACCTCAGCCATGAATTAACATATGTGTGCTGCTGCACCTGGTGGGTTTTAATTTTATTTTTTAAAAATATTTTTAGTTGTAGATGAACGCAATACTTTTATTTATTTTTATGTGGTGCTGAGGATTGAACCCAGGGCCTCACACGTGCTAGGCGAGCGCTCTACCACTGAGCCCCAGCCCCCAGGTTTTAATTTTTGATGGAGCCAAATTTATGCATATTTTCCCTCCCCTGTCTTTCAAACCTGTGACTTTATGATTCATTTCTTGTTTGAGACTCCCTTCTTTACTGAAACCTGTACTTACCTGTACTTTCTTCTGATAACTTTCAAAACTTTTTTTTATTTCAAAAACATATAGTTCTTTATCTTGTTGGGAGGGGATAGGTTTTTTTTTTCCTTTAAATTTCACCAAAGGTATGAGAAAGAGGTTAATAACTGGTTTATCAACACTTTTGTTGGCTAATCCATTCATTCCTCATTGATTTAAAATGTTGCATTTACTAGGTACAAAATTAGCAGCAGGAAAATCATAAATTAGAGGGTGGCCTCAGCAATTTAGTGAGACCCTGGTTCAAAATAAAAAAGGTCTGGGGATATAGCCCCCCCCCCAAAAAAAAAAGTCACATTTAGTTTTTTTTCCCTGGACTCTTCATTTGTTTGTTTCATCATCTCTTTTTCTATAGTTCTACAAATACCAAATTGTTTTAAACTCTTAAGCTTTATAATGTACTTTAAATAATCTGAGAGGGTAAATCCCCCCATATTATTCATTCTTATGCATTTTTGTACTCCAGATGAATTTTTTTTTTTTTAGATGTCACTAGACCTTTATTTTATTTATATGAGGTGCTGAGAATCGAACTCAGGGCCTCACACTTGCTAGGCAAGTTGTCTACCACTGAGCCACAACCCCAGCCCTCCAGATTTTATTTATTTATTTACTTACTTATTTGGTATTGGGGATTGAACATAGGGGTACTTAAAGAAACTATCCCTGCCCCATGCCTTTTTTTTTTTTTTTTTTTTTTGTACCAGGGATTGAACTCAGGGGAACTCACTCACTGAGCTACATCCCCAGCTCTATTTTATTTAGAGATAGGGTCTCAGTGAGTTGTTTAGTGCCTCACTTTTGCTGAGACTGGCTTTGAACTCTTGATTCTCCTGCCTCAGTCTCCTAAACTGCTGGGATTACAAGTGTGCGCTCTGCGCCTGGCATCTCCAGCCCTTTTTATTTTTTATTTTGAGACAGGGTCTTGATGAGTTGCTGATGCTGGCTTTGAACTTGTGATTCTCCTGCCTCAGCCTCCAGAGTTTCTGGGATCACAGATGTGTGCAACCAAGACCAACCAGATTAATTTTAGAATTAGCAATTCAAGTAAGATATAAAATCAAGTTGAATTTCAAATTTCTGGACTCAAGTGATACTCTTGCTTCAGCCTTTCAGGTAACTGGGACTATAGGCTTGGCTTTTGATTATAAGCATATTAAATTTATAAATAATTTGGGAAAGAATAGGATTTATGGTACTCCGTCTTTTTTGTATTCAGTTGACATATAATTGTACTGTTTATGGGGTACAGTGTGATATTTCAATATGTATACACAAATGTGTAATGATCAAAGCAGGGTAATTAGCATATCTAGCACCTTAAATATTTATCACTTATTTGGGAAGAACATTCAAAATCCTCTCTTCTAGCCAGCTATGATGGTGCATCCTTGTAAACCCAGCTACTCAACTTGGAAGGCTGAGGCAGGAGGAAGTGCAATTTTGAGGTTCGCATGGGCAATTTAGTGAGACCCAGTCTAAAAATAAACAGTTGGTGCATGCCTGTAATCCCAGTGGCTCTCAAGGCTGAAGCAGGAGGATCAAAGCCAGCCTCAACAAAACTGAGGTGCTAAGCAACTCAGTGAGAACCTGTCTCTAAATAAAATACAAAACAGGGCTGGGGATGTGGCTCACTGGTTGAGTGCCCCTGAGTTCAATCCCTGGTAAAATAAATAATAGTAATAAAAAAATAATTTTAAAAAATAAAAAGGGGTGGGGGTGTAGCTCAGGGATAAAGCCCCTGGGTTCAATCCAAAACAAAACACAAACCCAAAACCTCTCTAAATTATTGTTAGCTATACTATAGCTAACCTACTGTAGTGTAGAACACTAGAACTTATTCTGTCAACCTTTTATCTATTAACTAACCTCTGCACTTACCCTGTTATTCCACCACTGGCTCTCATATCAGTTTGAAATGTGGCACATATCACCAGTTGGTTTGTTGTTCTGTTTCTTGGATAAGTTTTATGCTACTCTCCATCCAGATAGTACAGTTTAACCCTAGCAATCTTATTTTATATATATATATATATATATTTAGTTGTAGATGAACACAGTTCCTTATTTATTTATTTATTTATATGTAGTGCTGAGGATTGAACCCAGTGCCTCACACATGCTAGGCAAGCACTTTACCACTGAGCCACATCCCCAGCACCTGCAATCTTATTTTTTTGTTTGTCCAAATGGGATCTTGTCTTTACAGGGTTTTTTTGGTAAAGACAAGATTTTCTTTTTCTTTTTCGCACTTGATTATTGCTGGTAGAAAGGAATGCTATTATTCTTGGCATTTTTTTTTTTTTTAAATACTTTAGTAGAGCACATGCTAGGCAACCTCTTTACCACCGAGCTATACTCGCAGCCCTTGCTATAATGAACTTATTTAGGTCACCTTGATGAATTTCTAAGCTAGCCTGCCGAAACTATCCCTCTGCAGTGGGACAGTTTGGCCAGTGAGTCAGACACTACTATTGGTCCCATAAGTGGAAATTGTCTTACTTTAAGTCTCCTTAGCCACCATCAAGTGGAAATTTCCTGCTTGTTTAGAAGGAAGAATTTGATACCAGCCAAGAGGAGCTCTGACTAAGACAGTAAGTAGGGATGTTGCATGCCTTGGGTAGCATCCTAGCTGCCCTGGAGTGAGTCCTTGCCTGGAGAACAAGCCAAATGGAGGCCTCCACCCATGTGGTGCCCCTCTCTCCTCTCTTTTCCCAGAAACTGCCTTTCCTATGATATTCCTACACATGCCCCATTGAGGAATTTGGAGACTTGTTTGTTCCAACTTTTTTTTTTTTTTCCTTCTGAATTCATAAAGGAAGGAAACAAGGACTATAAGAACTTCTGAGGTCAGATTCATCTAGCTATAGTTGGTGGAAGTCCAAGTGCTGAGATTCTTTCAGGTCCCTTTCCTGAAAAGGAAATCAACCTCCATTTCTTTAAACCTCAAGGTACAAAGGTCAGTGCTTACGTTTCTGAGTGATGAAAAGCTCAAGGAATATCTGTTGACTCTCTGTTCTGCCATTCTTGGGGCAGGAGGAGCAGGACAAAGTTCCAGGTTATATGATGATTCTAATTTCAGGTTAACATAAAAGATATTCCACCTTTTAAAAAATTTTTATTTAGTTGTAGATGGACACGATATCTTTATTTTATTTATTTTTAAGCAGGGCTGAGGATCTAACCCAGTGCCTCACATGTTCTAGGTAGGTGTTTTACAACTTAACTACACACCCCCGCCCCAATTTTCCAGGTTTTGCTGTTTCCTGGGGTTACCTTCCATTCAATAATATCATATGATTATTTCCATCAACTTGACCCAAAACCTCAAGAGAACTAACACTGGCAATTCTGAGCTTATAAGTTCTGACTTTTTATAGATAACTAGAATTCTTGCCCTTGTGACCTCACTTCTCTGAAACTTCTTAGATTTCTCCCAGGTGGAACTTAGTAAAACTGTGTGTCATTCAGCTTTTAATTGCTGGTCACTTAATTTCAAAATCATGATCATATTTTCAGCATGGATAGGAATCTCATTGGCAGGATAAGGCTGCAGGTGGTACACACAAGGGTCAGCAATCTCAAAGTTCAGAGGGATAGTTCTATTCAAATGGATTTTTCAGTTTTTGTCTTAATTTCTGTATTTTGGCTGCTACTGAAGTAGAATAGTGTTTCATGTGTTTTGGCCAAATGGCCAAAAAGGTTTCCTCTTTTGTGAATTTTCCATCCTTAATCCTTGGTGTGTGTGTGAGTGTGTTGAGGGGCAGGTACTAGGGATTGAACCCAGGGGTGCTTTATCACTGAGCTACATCCTTAGCTGTTTTTGAGACAGGGTCTCTATGTTCCCCAGGCTGGCCTTGAACTTGGGATCTTTTTGCCTCAGCCTCTGGAGTAGCTGGGATTATAGGCGTTCACCAACAAGGCCTTAAACTGTTCTTATTTGAGGACATTTGTTAAGGATATTAGTACAGCTACTACATGTTACTATATTTTTTTAAAAAAACATTGTCTCAGTGGCAGAGAGTTTGCCTAGCATCAAGGTTCTAGGTTCACTCCCCAGCACCCCCCCCCTCCCCCCAAATAAAGCTTCACTGTGAAATCTCCTTTCCTTCACCTTTATGGATTTGCAGCCTGGCTTGGTAAGGTCAATCATATTCCAAGTATGTGTGTGTGTGCATTTAGTCTTCAGAATTTCTTAAATGATATTTTAGTTTTTATAGTGTTTATCCATAAGTTTTAATTCATCTAGAATGTATTTTGGTATATGCTATGATGTTGGGAGTCTTTACTTCTTTCCCAGTGCATGGCCAACCATCTTGACATCATTTTCTCCAATGAATTGAAATGTCACTTTTATCATGTAGTTTTCTCACACAATTTGTTTCTGGATTTTTCTCTTCGATTCAACATCTATTTACTCTTGGGCCTATATTTTACTGTTTTAACTGCAATGGCTTTATATGTTTTAATATATAGAAAGACAGGCCTCACATTACTGTCCTTTTTATTATTTATATTCTGACTATTCTTGGATAGTTCTTTTTTGAATATATTTTTATTTTATATTAAAATTTATTTTCATTTATTTTATGGTACTATGGATCAAACCCAGGACCTTGTGCATAGAAAACTGCTCCAGTTCATATAAAAAACATGACCAGAGGCAAGTGCTCTACAGCTAAGCCATATTCCCATCCCAAAGTAACTTTTTTTTTCTTTTTCTTTTTGGTGGTACTTGGGATGAAACCCAGGACCTTATATTTACCACTGAGGTAAATCTTTAAGTACTGAGGAAACATCAAACTGTTTTACACAGCAGCTGTACCACTTTACATTCCCATCAGCAAGTATGAAGGCTCCAGTTTTTTTTAACATCTTTTTTTTTTTTTTGGTACCAGGGATTGAACTCAGGGACTGTACCACTGAGTCACATCCCAGCCCTATTATTTTTTTAAATTATTATTATTATTTTTTAGTTACATATGGACATAAAATACCTTTATTTTATTTTAATGTGGTGCTAAGGATCAAATCTGGTGCCTCACATTTGCAAGGCAAGTGCTCTACCACTTAGCCACAACCCCAGCCCTATTATGTACATTTTATTTACAGACAGGGTCTGAGTTGCTTAGTGCCTTGCTTTTGCTAAGGCTGGCTTTGATCCTCCTGCCTCAGCCTCCTGTCCCACTGGGATTACAGGATTACGCCTGGCTCACATATTCACCAACACTTATTTTCCTTTTAAAATTATATCTTAGTGGGTGTCAAATAGATTCTTATGGAGGTTTTGATTTGTATTCTCTTAGTAACTAGTGATGTTCTTGTGCTTGTTGGGTATCTATATATCTTCTTTGGAGAAATGTAATTTAAGTCCTTTACCTACCTAAAATTTTATTGTTGTTGTTTAGTTGCAAGATTGCTTTGCATAATCTGGATACAAGACCTTTGTCAGATAGATATAAGATTTGAAATATTTTCTCCCATTTCGCTTTCATGATAGTGTCCTTTGATGTACACAAATTTCATTTTTTTTTCTTTTGTTGCTTGTGCTTTTAGTGTTATATTTAGACAGATTTTAGCATTAGCTAAAATCGACCTTTAGTATTATATTTAGGAAACCACTGTCTATTACAAGGTCAGAAAGATCTATAACTATGTTATTTTTATGTTTTCTAAGACAGACTTTAGCATGAGCTAAAGTCGACCTTTAGTATTATATTTAGGAAACCACTGTCTATTACAAGGTCAGAAAGATCTATAACTATGTTATCTCTTAAAAGTTGTACAGTTTTGGGGTTGGGGATGTGGCTCAAGCGGTAGCGCGTTCGCCTGGCATGCGTGCGGCCCGAGTTTGATCCTCAGCACCACATAGAAACAAAGATGTTGTGTTTGCCGAAAAACTGAAAAAAAAATATATTAAAAATTCTCTCTCTCTCTCTCTCTCTAATTAAAAAAAAGAGTTGTACAGTTAAAAAATGACTGAAATTTTAATAGTAATTGTAAAATTAATATAAATCTTCCTTAGGCTAAGGGTGTAGCTCAGCCTAGCATATGTGAGGCCTTGGGTTGGATCCTCAGGACCACAACAAACAAACTAACCAACCAAACTTGTATTTTTATGCTGAAGTTATTTCTTGATTTAAGTTCTTGACATTCCATTTTCATTTCTGTCAAGTAATACCCAATATAAGAAATCTAAAATTCTCTCATTTATTATAGACTTTATTAGTATTTCTTGCGTTTCTAACACAGTTGTCTTTTCTTTTTTTCTTTCTTTTTTTGTGTGTGTGTGGTGCTGGGGATTGAAGCTAGGGCCTTGTGCATGTAAGGCAAGCACTCTACCAACTGAGCTGTATCCCCAGCCCCCACAGTTGTCTTTTCTAATACTTATACCAGTTTTTTATTTTTCTGTGTCCCTTTATCAGCTTGATCCTTCAAAACATATGGATATTTTTCTTTGAAAAATGAAATAAGCCAACACATGGAAACTCTAATTAAGGAAAAGAGAAAAAAAAAAGTATAGTTATTGAGAAAAGAATGGATAAATAGCCATAAAAGTGAAAATTCTACCTTGAGTTAGTTTTAATATGCTGGATTTTGGTAGGGTCTTTTATATATATATATATATATATATATATATATATATATATATATATATAGATAGATAGATAGATTGATTTTTTTTTTTTCCTCCTATTTTTCTTAGGAGTTGTTATCAGGAATAATGGCTGCATCTTGTCATCTTTCAGCATCTATTAAGTACACAAATATAGTTTTTCTTTTTAACTTGCTGATATAATGAATTACTTTAATGGATTTCCCTAAGTAGAACCATTCTTGCATTCCTGGAATAATACCCTACTTGATTGTAGAGTAGTGATTCTTTTGTTGCATTGTTGGATTCAATTTGCTAATCTTTTATATTTTTGCATCCATATTCACAATAAAATTGTCAGTTTTCTCTTTTTTTTGTGGTAATTCATGTTTTATCTAAGAATTGGAGGAACTGTCTATTTTATGCTTTAAACAGTAGTAAAACCATCTGGGCTAGGAACATCTTATAATTGGTAAATCTATTACAATTGCCTTCCTAATTTCTCCAGTGGCTGTTGGCTCTGTTCTTTTTTATCTTTTTTTTGTTGTTGTTGTTGGTACTGGGGATTGAACTCGGGGGTACTCACTACTGAGCCACATCCCCAGACCTATTTTGTATTTTATTTATTTATTTAAAAATAGTTTTGTCATAATCTCTTTTTTAAGTACTAGGGAATTGAACTAATGGATGCTCAACTACTGATCCACATCCCCAGCACCCCCACCTTATTTATTTTGAGACAGTCTCACTAAGCTGCTGAGAGCCTAGCTGAGTTGCTGAGGCTGGCTTTGAACTTGTGATCCTCCTGCCTCAGCCTCCTGAGCTGCTGTGATTTGGGAGTCTGCTAGCATGCCAACTCATAATCTATGCTATTGGTGTGTCCGAAGTTTATTTAATGAACCCTTAATTGAGAGACCTTTGAACCAGTTCAGTATTTTACTATTAGAAATAGTGTTTTGGGGCTGGGGATGTGGCTCAAGTGGTAGTGCGCTTGCCTAGCATGCGAGAGGCACTGGGTTTGATTCTCAGCACCACATAAAAACCAAATAAAGATATTGTGTCCACCTAAAACTAAAAAATAAATTTAAAAAGAGAGAAATAAATAGTGTTTTGGGGCTGGGGTTGTAGGTCAGTGGTAGAGCATTTGCCTAGCATGTGTGAGGCACTGCGTTCAATCCTCTGCCCCTAAAATAAAGATATTGTGTTCATCTACAATTTAAAAAATGTATAAAAAAAGAAGTAGCGGTTCAATGTCTATTTTGACATACCTCTTTAGTCATGTGGAGTAAATCTATAGTATAAATTCATGGATATGGTAATACTGGATCAAAGCGTATGGAATTTTGGGGCTGGGTTTGTGGCTTAGTGGTAGAGTACTTGCCTAGCACTGGATTCGAGCCTCAGCACCACATAAAAATAAAGATACTGTGTCTATCTACAACTAAAAATATTTTTTTAAAAAAGTGTATATAATTTTTCTAGAAATTACCAAATGGTCCTCCATAATTTTATACATCCACCAGCAATGTAAAAACAGCTAGCTTTTCTTTAATTAATCGGATTTTTTATGTGTGACATTATACTGGCTATACAAATTATTTTGGCTTCACATTGTATCAAAAGTATTTCTCTTGGGGCTGGGGTTGTGGCTCAGCTGTAGAGCACTCACCTAGCATGTGTGAGGCCCTGGGTTTGATCCTCAGTACCATATAAAAATAAATAAAAATAAAGATATTTTAAAAAAAGTATCTCTCACATCAAAACTATTCATAGGGCTGGGTGTGGTGGCACATGCCTATAATCCAAGCAGCTTGAGAGTCTAAGGCAGAATGATTGTTAATTCAAATCAGCTTCAGGAACTTAGCGAGGTCTTAAATCATTCAGTGAGACCCCTGTCTTTAAATAAAGTATAAAAAAGTGGGGCTGGGATTGTGGCTCAGTGGTAGAGCACTTGCCTAGCATGTGTGAGGCATTGGGTTCAATCCTCAACACCATATAAAAATAAATTAATTAATAAAATAAAGGTATATTAAAAATAAAAGGTCCATCAACATCTAAAGAAAAAAAAAAGGGGCTGTGGATGTGGCTCACTAGTTAAGTACCACTGGGTTTATTCCCCAGTATGCCCCACACCTGCCCCAAAAACCCTATTCATAGAAGGGTGAGGTGGCACACACCTGTAATCCAAGCAACTTGGGAAGACTGAAGCAGTTTGAGGCTAGCCTCCAGCAACTTAGGGATACCCTTTCTCAAAATAAAAAATAACAAGGGCTGGGGATGTACCAAAACAAAACAATACTTATTCATAAACAACAATGAATCTTTTATAACTGTAAATGTCCACTGTTGAAAGATGACCTTCCTAGTTAGTATTTACCTATGGATTTAGATATCAAATATATATCTACTTATATATTTGCATGTTATATATTTGTATATTCATTTAATAAAAATGAGATTCCTAACTTGCTTTAAAATTTTTAATATATTATGAACATTTTCTTTGTTATAAAACTATTACATCACTGGATTTTTCCAGTACTGCTATTGTAAGTAATAGTATGATGATCTTTGTGTGTGTCATTTTCACTTTCTAAGTATTTCCTTGGATCAGAAAGGAAAGACTAGTTTAGTGTTTGTCTTCCTAGTAGCAAGACAGAGGTCACCCCCTGCCACCACATTCCAGCCAATGTTAGTAGCTTGCTTTTAGTCATACTTTTATGTGGAAGATTTTAGGAGATATTGACAAATTTTCAGTGGACAAATCACACAACCAGATTTGCTTTTTCAATTTCAGCTTCAGGGCCTAATAGTTCTGTCAGTCTCATGTGGTCTTAGGAGGCATATAAAATAATGGTGACATTGAGTAAAGTGGTACAAGTTGGGTGGAGAGTCTAAACAAGCAGATCTCCAACCTGTTGCTATGCAGGGAGCAATTCCCCGGTTTTATGTTGCAGGTTGGGGATACTCACTGGGCAGGCAAAGCACACCAGGATCTTTTGTCTCAGGACTTTTATGTATGTTAGTCCTTATGCTTAATGCCTACTTGATTATTTCTCAGAAAAACAACAGCAGCTAATCTTTCCTGGCACCGAGAGCTAGATTCTTTGTTATGTACCCTAAGACATCCTTTTGTTCAGTTCTCTGAAGTTAAACCATTATTCAGATGAGAGAATTGAGATAGAGAATCTTGTGTCTTGTCATAGTTATGTTGCTTGTCTTCTGGCTTCAAACCTAGAGTCACTTGCCGCTCTCTTCACAACTAAGTTTCCCTGTCTCAAGCCACTTTTCTGGACCATGGGTTGAACTTTGCCTATAGCTTACAAGCCAATCCTCTCAGAAAGTTTTATTTGTTGAATCATTTAAAGACATCAGGTTCTTAAGTGTTTTTTTTAAAGTTCCAGATTTATCTTCCTATTTCCTACTTCTCCCAAGACTGAGCTGAGATATTCAGTTATAAGTGTTTGAGAGTCAGGCTCAGGCAGTCTGTTCTGCATACAACAGAGCCCATAACTGTGAAGGACACTTGGGTGCATCAATCCATGATTGTCATGTTAAATAGAGGATGATTTCTCCAGCTCCGATAAAAAGGTAAACCAGCCAGAAAAAAATTTAGGGAATTATGGTTGAACTAATTCAATAGACTGTAATATTTGTGTGTGTGTGTGTGTGTGTGCGCGCGCGCGCGTACACGTGCTATTCTTTTTTGGTACTGGGAATTGAACCCAGGGGTACTTTACCACTGAGCTACATCCTCAGTTCTTTTTTATTTTATATTTTTGAGATAGTCTTGTTAAGTTGCTGAGGCTGACCTTGAACTTGGGATCCTCCTGCCTCAGCCTCCCAAATTGCTGGGATTATAGGTGTGCATCACTGCACCTGGCTCATGTATTTTCAGTAAATCTATGATTTGGACATGTCTCCTGGCATCCATGTGTTAGACATATGGTTCCCAATGCATTAGTGTTAAGAGGTAGGATCTCTGGGAGAGGACTGGGTCATTTACAGATTAATGAATTATCATGGGAGTAGTTTTGTTATAGAAATAAGCACTTTGGCTAACTTGCTCTGTCTTGCCATGTGATGCCCGCTGCCTTATTATGATCAGGAAGCTCTTCATTAAATGTCAAGCAGAAGCCTGTGTCTTGCTCCCAGCTTCCAGAATCAAGAGTTAAATAAACCTCAGTTCTTTATAAATTACTCAATCTGTGGTATTCATTTATACCAACCCAAAACTAAGACAGCCTACTTCAGAAGCAATTAAAGATCCTACCTGTAAGTGTTTTTAGTACATTCTGCATTCATTTGTGATAACAGCAATTTGTCTGGGCTCTGTGCTAGGTGTTTGACATACGCTTTGTCATTATGCAAATTATTTTTCACAAGAATTTGTATTGTCCTTGGGTTGGTTTGTTTTCAGTTCTTCATTCCACCCTGACCCCCTCACCAGAGGAAGAAGCCAGAGTTTGGGTAGCCCATTGGCCAACAGGGTCTCCCTTTGCAGAGGCACTTAGCTGGGAACTCCTTTGACTCAGGAAGATAAGCCATCTCCAAGCAGGCCCCTTGTCTTCCTGATCTACTTTTCTCCTTTGTTCCTTAGATCTGAAAACTCTTCAAAGCCTCAGAGGAAGTGCAGTGAGTTGATTCTCATGTACCTGGAGAAGAGAATATAGAGGCGGCGGAACCAGAGGAGTTGGCTTCTATGGCAGTACATGGCTCTCTAGAAGAATCAAAGGGGACCAGTTATGGACATTTGATCTGGAGCTATTTCTATTACTCTCAGAGTTGTTTCCTCATCTGAAATCCCTCCTCCCACTAATATACTTTGTGCTATAGCATTATTTGGTTTCGTTCTATAGCCCATGAACCACTCTGGATTGACCTTCCCTTCTCATCTCCTACTTACTTCATTGTGATTAAAGCAGATGATGCTAAGGGTACCTAAAGCACTTAACTATTGGCACAACAGTCTACAATCATCATCTCAATGTGAATAACCGTGTTATTCTAATAATAGTATGTACTATTATTATTGCTTTTTTCCCCCAGTAAATAGATGAGGACACTCATTAATCTCAAATAGCTAGTAGGTAGCAGAGCCGAGATTCAAACCCAGAGCCATCTGATGGACTCTAGAGCCTCATTTTGCTCTGCTACCTTACCTATACAACACAAACAGAGGTGTCCGAGGGGAAGCAGGCTAGAATGCTATGCCCAGACTTCTCTGAATTAGGTAAACTGGAAGACATAATCACTATTGGGAAAAAAAAAGGGAAGGTACACAGGTATGGGTTAGTCTTCCCACCTAACAGAGGAAATGTATATTTTCTTGTTATTTGGACCTAGTACAGTTCCATTTTTAAACAGATCATGGTAACTGGTTTAACTATGTAGGACATATATATAAAAAATTGCTATTGTTCTCTAAGTACCATAACTTAACTAAGTTAATATTATTGCAAACCTTTATGTAAACCTTAATGTAAATGTAAATATTTATTGTCAGAATATATGTGGTTTTAGAGCTGTAAACTTACTTGTGATAATCATGATTTGGATGGTAAAGGGAATCGGAATAGAACTATCTCACTATACAATCTAGGAAAAATGTTACATAGTATTTTTTCCACAGCAAACACAATGAAAATTATAAGTGAAATTTATTATCAGAAAACAAAAAGGAGGGGCTGGGGATGTGGCTCAAGTGGTAGCGCACTCGCCTAGCATGCATGAGGCACTGGGTTCAATTCTCAGCACCACATAAATGTAAAATAAAGATATTGTGTCCACCTAAAAAAAAAAAAAAATTAAAAAAAAGAAAACAAAAAGGATACATGAACTCAAGAGAATAATGTTAATATTTTGAAAACCATAATAAAAATAAAATGTTGATCTATTTATTTAAAAAAATATTTTTTTTGGTTGTCAATGGACCTTTATTTTATTTACATGTGGTGCTGAGAATCAAAATGTTTACAAAAACACTGGGAGAGGGCTGGGGATGTGGCTCAGGCGGTAACACGCTCGCCTGGCATGCGCAGGGTGCTGGGTTTGATCCTCATAAAATAAAATAGGGATGCTGTGTCTACCGATAACTGAAAAATAAAAATATTTAAAAAAAAAATCTCTCTCTCTCTCAAAAAAAAAAAAAAAAAAAAACACTGGGAGAAAGGATGACCTTTGTAGTCCAAACCATACTTGATCTGTCAGCTTGGAACAGATTCTAAGTTAAAAGGGTTTCCCACAGTATAGTGCCCAAGTGCTTAAATCTTTCAATGACTTTTAACATTCCTTCAATAAGATGGGCACTTACAAAAATTATTCATTGTCGGGGCTGGGGTTGTGGCTCAGTGATAGAGCACTTGCCTGGCATGTGTGAGGCACTGGGTTCAATCTTTAGCACTGCATATAAAGTAAAAGTCCATTGACCACTAAAAAAAATAATAAAAAATTATTCATTGTATTTTAACAACTGTATTTTTTATTTTTATTTTTTTGGGCACTGGGAATTGAACTCAGGGGTCCCTGACCACTGAGCCACATCCTAAGCCCTATTTTGTATTTTATTTAGAGACAGGGTCTTACTGAGTTGCTTAGTGCCTGGCTTTGAACTCATGATCCTCTTGCCTCAGCCTCCTGAGCTGCTGGGATTACAGGCATGCACCACCGTGCCCAGCTACCAAGTGTATTTTTTAAATTATTGTTTTTGCTCAAAAGTTAGAAGGAATAGCCCCATAAAAATCAAAATTGGGTATAAAGTTTTGTGTTTCTGCTTTCGGAGCATTTTCACTAAATATTCTTCAAAATAAGGCTGGCTTACTATTTCATTCACCTGCTGAATATTGTTCCTATTTTAGCTACTCTAAATTATACTGTGAGGAGCTGGGGTTGTGGTTCAGCGGTAGAGTGCTCGCCTAGCATGTGCAAGGCCTTGGGTTCGATCCTCAGCACCACATATAAATAAATAAAATAAAGGTATTGTGTCTAACTACAACTAAAAAAAATAAATATTTAAAAATTATACTAATGAAAGCTGTGGTTATAGCTCAGTGGTAGAATGCTTGCCTAGCACATGTGAGGTACTGGGTTCGATCCTCAGCACCACATAAAAATGAATAAATAAAATAAAGGTATTGTGTCCATGTACAACTAAAAAAATGTTTTTAAAAATTATACTAATGATAACATTGCATATAAGTTCCTGGACACATCTTTGTTCATTTCCTTAGGATAAAATTCTAAAAGTATAAATTATTGGACGAGAGTTTCTATAAATAGTATAATTAGTTATATTTTAAAAGAAAAAGATAAAATTCACATTAAATTCCACCATCTAGATACTCTATAAATCTGTTCTGTAACCTGTTGGTTTTTGCTTAATGTATCAAAAACATGCAAAGGTAAGAACAATTTCTGAAACCCCTTCTGACATTCATTACTTTTGTTTCCTTAAAAGGCTGTAACAATTTATAAACCCATTTCATTTAAAGCTTCAGTAATGATCTTTTCCACTTTGCTAGCAAATAAGTTCAAATAAGTTACTTGTTCTTTCTTTTCCACTCCTCCCCTTCTTTTCTCCCTCTCTTCCCCCTTCTCCCTTTTCTTTCTTTCTCCTTCCCTCTCTTTTTCTTTCCTTCACTGGGGATTGAAGTCAGGGTGTTCTACCTCTGAGCTAAACCCCCAACCCTTTTTTTAAAAAAATATTTTATTTACATTTTAGTTTTCCGCAGAGACAACATCTTTGTTTGTATGTGGTGCTGAGGATCGAACCCGGGCTGCACCCATGCCAGGGGAACGCGCTACCATGTTACCGCTTGAGCCACATCCCCAGCCCCCCCCCGCCCTTTTTGTTTTTTAATTTTGATACAGGGTCTCAGTAAATTCCTAAGGTTGACCTCGAATTTGCGATCCTTCTGCCCTTGGTCTTCAGGTTGCTAGGATTACAGGCACGTGACACTGTGCCTGGCTTTTTAATTTTCTTATTCTCAAAATACTTTGGCTGTTCTTACTTGGTCAAGATGCGACAAATTTATGCTTCCTGTTCCATATTGTAGTCATGGTAGAAAAATACAAAGAGGATTAAAAAAAAGATGCAGATGGGTCAAAACTAAAACCAACAGTATCATGAACCTACAAAATATAAACAAGTATGAGTGGTTGAAGTGGAGGGCTCACTGACTGAAGGCCCAGGAAGATTGGGAGCATTGTGGGTTCTGCTAGACTAGGGACCCAAACTTGAAGCTGTGAGTCAGGGAGATTGAGGCAAAACTACCTTTGTTTCAGGTTTCACACTACAGAAAAATTATCCTTCTAGTGATGTATTTAATGCCACATTTTCTTATTTTATGCTTTGATAAAAGCATAAAATAATTGATCACAAAACTCATTGATCACAAAACAGTTACATTAAAAAATCAACAACAAAGGAATATTCTCATTATTTGTGGCCATTCTATCAAGTCACTAGAACACTGAATTAGTGAATACTGGACTACTGCTCATTCCTGAGAGTCTCTGGTCACATTTTCATTAACACATCAATATATAACATTGTTTTATGTGTGTTCCTGTTTAAAGAGAAATTATTTAATATACACTTTGCTGATTGATTTACATTGAACTAGTGCCAATTGCACTAGAACTCATGTGTGTGATGAAGCTTATCTAATATATCTATTTTTTCCATAAGGCCTATCATAGCCTCTTTTGTTTAAGGACACTAGACAGCTTCAGCCTTGTATTTCAGACTTAAAAAAAAAAAAAAAACCTGAGCTACATCCCCAGCCCTTAGAGATAGGGTTTTGCTAAGTTGCCCAGCTGGCCTTGGAAGTTGTGATCCTCCTGAGTGTGCACCACTGCGCCTGGCTACTTCAGTCATTTTAAACAGTAAAATCAACAAAAATCATAAAATAAGAAAATGTGGCATTAAATACATCACTAAAAGGATACTTTTTCTGTAGTATGAGACTGAAACAAGGTAGTTTTGCCTCAATCTTCCTGGAAACATGCATGTGTGGCTCAAATTTTTCACTGCTTTTTAAATGACTATGTCAGTGCTCACAAAAGCAAAAAATAAGAAATAAAAATTGCCCATAATCCCACCATTCAGAAGTAATCATTGTTAACATGTTGGGCTATATGCTTGTATTATTTGAGATCACACTAGAATTGATTTTTGAGTTACAGATAAATTTTTGTAAGTAGGCAAAAATGGAACTGCAAATAATAAAGGTTGAAAAACATCTGCAAACTCTAACATACATCCCTGAAACCTCATGGATTGAAAAGAAACTCACAATGGAAACTTAAAGGATTACATTAAAGGAAATTAATAGTATTAATGTACGGTTTTTTAAAAAAATTTTTTTAGTTGTAGATGGACACAATATTTTTATTTATTTGTTTTTATGTGGTGCTGAGGGTGGAACCCAGGGCCTCACGTGGTGAGGCAAGCACTCTACTACTGAGCTACAACCCCAGCCCTAAAGTATAGTTTTTTTTAAAGACTGAAAATAAAAAGAAGCCTAACCTTTCAAAAAAAAAAAAAAAACAGAATAAAACATGAATAGAGGACAGAAATAATAACGAAAAAAATTAATGAACTATTAAAGCAACAAGAGAGGATTAATATTTCTGCTCAACATACATTCTAAGCATCTAGCAAAGTGCCTTTTAGTAGGAATAAATGCTTATTGAGAAAATAAGGCTACCTGTGTCTCTGAGGTGGACTTAAGTCTTCTACAGATTGCACCTGGAGACAAATTGGAGCTCGTCTCATCTCCTCATCTCTAATGATTCTGACAATCACCTGCCCCACTGACAGCTAAACTTTCACTAGGAGGGCATGGGTGGGTCTGGTTCTTCCTCAGTTCGCAAATGGGCTTTCGGCTGTCTGCCCCACTGGCTCTTTACAGAGGATCCTGGCAGGTCTGAATTCCTTTTAGACTCAAGCTAGGAGCACTGGAAAACTGGAAAATCTGAAATATCTAATGATCAGGAATTCATGACATATTTATGGTATATCCATACAAACGAATTATAGGCAGGCATTATAGTTGGAACACTTAGTGACTTAGGAGAAAATATTCATAATATTTTGTTAAAGAAAGCAGATTTTATTTATTTTTTTTAATATTTATTTTATTTTTTTAGTTTTCGGCGGACACAACATCTTTGTTTGTATGTGGTGCTGAGGATCGAACCCGGGCCGCACGCAGGCCAGGCGAGCGCGCTACCACTTGAGCCACATCCCCAGCCCAAGAAAGCAGATTTTAAACAGTAAACAAAGTGTGATCCCATTATATAATAGTAGCATGTAGCCCAACATGTTAATGATGATTACTTCTGAGTGGTGGGACTGTGGATAATTTTTATTTCTTACTTTTATTTTCTTGATTCTCTATAAGGAGTATATGTAATTTAGGTTCTTTGTTGTTTTATTGTAATCAGGAAAAAAGTTCAAAGTCATTGAAAATTTCTGCCTGCCAGGGTCTAGCTGGCTTAGTAGTAAAACTCAGGGGGAGATGCTAAGCCGCTGTGAAAGGACTATGGGAATTGCCTCTGCAGAGCAGAATTTTGAGAAGCCAAGAGGCCTGGCCCAGATCTGACTAAGGTGTCCAGGAATTTGTAATCCTCACCTTTGCCTGTGCCACTTCTTCGCTGGTGAGCATGAAGAGGATGTCCTGAGTATGCAGCAGAGACCAGAGCAGGTCCAGGAGGAAGAGATACTTGCGCAGCACATTCACAGACTGAAGTGTGAGCACAGAACACCCTGGTGGGGAGGGGATGGGGAAAAGTAAAGAGCCTTGTTGCTCCCAGATTTTCCCCCCGAAAACTCCCACCACCTCTATGGCTTAGGGCAGGGCTGGAGTTGCCAGGTGTCTTCACAGCACCAAAGCTGCTCTTTGCCCATTATTCCTGCAGAGAGGAAGAGTGAAAGGGCCACAGGAGACCTGGCTGGCTACCCTCTACCTCACTCTGTGCCTTATTGAGAAGAGATGGGCAGCTAGAGATCCGGATCTGGCTACCTCAAGGCCGAGGGAAACAGGAATTTCTATACTGGGGAGCTAGAGACATATTTCTAGCTCTGTTGCTCAAGAACTGATCCAAAACTAACTGCTCAAGAACTTGGGAAAGCCCCTTAACTGCTCTGAATCTCAGTCTTCCTCCCTCTCTCCTTCCCTTCCCAGCCTGCTTTTGATCTTCTGGTCTCAAGTGTCTTCCAGCCTTAGGCTCCCAAGTAGCTGGGACTAAGATGCCACTGAATCTGGCTTTTTTTTTTTTTTCTTTTAAATATTTTTTGAGTTGTAGATGGACAGAATATATTTATTTATTTATTTTTATGTGGTGTTGAGGATGGAACCCAGTGCCTCATATGTGCAAGGCAGGTGCTCTACTACTGAGCTACAGCTCCAGCCCTGAATCTGGCTTTTGTGGGGGGGGGGGAGGGGGAGGGTACTGGGAATTGGACACAGGGATGCTCTTTCACTGAGTTCCATGCCAGCTCTTTTTATTTTGTTTTGAGACAGGATCTAAGTTGCTGAGGCTGGCCTTGAACTTGTGATCCTCTTGTCTCAGCCTCCTAGGTGGCTGGAATTATAGGTGTGCACCACTGCACCTGGCTGCATTGGCTCTGTATAGCCAGTGTGGGACCTGCCCTTCTCGCAGGATTGATATAAAAATAAAATGAATTATAGTCATGTTCCAAAGACTTCACAGTTTGGTAAGCTAAGTAAAGCCATCTGGAAAGGGCACATGCTACTTATGTCTCATTGATTCAATTTTTTTTTTTTTTTGGTACCAGGGATTGAACCCAAGGCCACTCAACCACTGAACTACATCCCTAGACCTTTTTTTTTTTTAAACATTTTTTAGTTGCAGATGGACACACAATATCTTTGTTTATTAATTTATTTTTTTATGTGGTGCTGAGGATGGAACCAGTGCCTTACACATGCTAGGAAAGCACTCTGCCACTGAGCTACAGCCCCAGCCCATCCCTAGACCTTTTTACTTTTTATTTTGAGACAGGGTCTTACCAAGTTGCTTACAGCCTCACTAAGTTGCTAAGGCTGGCTTCAAACATGCAATCCTTCTTCCTCAGCCTCCTGAGCCAGGGATTAGGAGTGCAACACCACGCCCAGCCTCATTGATTCAATTTTCATATTCTCCTGTGAGGCAGGACAAACCTGAAACTGACTCAGAAGGTTAAACAGGAGTGTCATGTGGAAATGATCAAATGGGGTCAAATACCTTCCTGTGGGCTAGGAAGAGTTTCTCTTTCAAGCAGTTTATTCTATCAGGCACCTGTCAGGCACTTACATCTTGGTTAATTAATGGGAGCTAGAATTTGAGTTTGGATAAACAGATTGCAGAATACCAGAAGTGGAAAAGACCTACCCTATGAGAAAACTAGACAGGTGAGGAGACAAACATGGTCTTTCTGCACATCCAGAATCTGCTGACAGGGCACTTGCCAATGATACAACCTGAGAGATCTGAGTCAGGAAGTATGCCTCTGCTCTGCTGAGAGCAGCCTCTGTGTACAATCGTCTCTCAACTTCAGGGAAATTTGCTCTAGGACCCGCACAGATACCATGATGCTCTAGTCTCTCATAGAAAATGACAGAGTAGCTGGGCATGGTGCACACAACTGTAATCCCGGTGACTTGGGAGGCTGGGGCAGGAGGATCGCAAGTTCAAAGCCAACTTTTGCAACTTAGCAAGGCCCTAAGCAACTTAGTGAGACCCTGTCTCAAAGTAAAAAATAAAAAATATCTGGGGATGTGGCTCAGTGGTTAAGTCCCCTGGGTTCAATCCCTGCTACAAAAAAGAGAGAGAAAAGAAAATGACAAGACTATTTGCATAAAATCTATGCATGTCTTCCCTGTATACTTTAAAACATCTCACCTTATAATACCTAGTACAATGTAAATGCTATGTAAATAGTTGTTACACTTATATTCAGTACAGACAGCATCCCCTCAACCCCAAGTAATTTTGATATATGGTTGTTAAATACATGGATATGGAACTTGAGGAATTTGGCTGACAGTATTTGCAAATTTCCCTCTGGTAAATCTCCTGGAAGGATAGCTTCTAGTGACTTTCTGCAATAGGAACAGGTCTTACCTTTAGGGAACTTCCCTTCGGAGTGCAGGGCCCTGGAAGAGGAAAGGACAAGCGTGAGAGAAGGTGAGAATCGCATAGTCCTTTGTACTAACGTGAAGGGACTTCTGAGGAAGGGTGACAGGGCCCATGGTCCCCTTACATAGGTTCCCAGGTGGTTTCTTTTGCATAAATCATCAAATTTCTGGGATTCCATACCTCTGGCTACAGTTGAAGGGACCAGGATGGGCACCTCACCCAAGGACAACTAATCCAGAGGCGGGTCTATATGACCCTGTCAAGCTTTGCCTGAGATGAAAGTGATTACCTCAGATTCTTCAAAATTTTTCTCTTGTAATTGTGACCTGAGTATAGTAGGAGAATATTTTAAAATACATTAAATATTTAAAATATTCATTGACATTTCTTTCCTAATATTTCCTTTCTCTTTTCTGACCTCCCCTATCCCCAGAAGGGACAGGATGAACCAACAGCAGTAATTTCCAAATTGTTTTCTGTTTTGTTGTATTGAAAGCTTAGGAACAGAGGAGAGAGTGAGTAATTTTCTGATTCAACACACATACACACTTATTAGTATCTGACTTGAGAGACAGTTGAAAAGCCTATGGAACTGACTCCCTGGCAGAGATAGAACCAGAATCCAGGAATCCTGGTTCTCCACTCAGTCTTCTGGCAGAAACATGTCAAAGCAAATCCACCTTAAGCAGTAGAAAAACCTGAAAAAGGCCCTGGGATCCTGAGAAGGAGGTGATTTGCTCGGCATCCCGGACAGAGCTCGGGGATATCCAAGGGAAGAGGTGAGACTGAAGTGTACACAACCTGGGAATTGCACTTGTGGCTCTTACAGCCATAGGGACAGGGACAAGGAGGGGCCTCAGGTGGGAGGGAAGCCAGAAAGAGACTGAGAGGTAGCCAGAAAGGTCAGAGAGAAGGGAAGACCAGCTAGTGCCAGGTAAGTCAAAGCAGCATTTTGATGAGTGACAGGAGGAGCCAAATGTCACAGAAAGGCCCAGACAAGTGAACACACTAAAATGGATCTGGTGAATTTAGCAGGCAGGTGACTATGGAGAAAACAGTTTTCAAAGATGGTGGGTGTGTCCATAAATTGTTTTATCTGAAGCACAGTGACTTCCACTATTGCAGGGAGAAGACCTGCACTAGTGTTGAGAGCCTGCAGTACTCCAGCCACTTAAGGAAAATGGTCCTGGGAATTTCTGTCAGCAGAAAGTTGTCCCTCTGGGTTCTCTGTCTGGAATGAAGCCTTCCCTGCTTTCCCCACTTCAGTGGTGACTATACCAGGGTTAGAACCAGTCAAGTCAACCTCAAGTGCCCAGGCAACCCTGACTGCTAAAGTGCTCTTGGTTTGTTTGCAGGAGACCTAATCTGATCCTCTCTCTGGTACAATCTGTATACTTGGTGAGAAGTCACAAGGCTCAGTGTGCACCTGGAGTGTGAATGGAGACATTATTCCAGTTTCCAAGCAGCTTGCATGAATACCAGTCTTGGAAGCCCAAGGTTCAGGGTAATTACATGGTTAGAAAGACCATTTCTGGGTTGCCTATTTTTCCATGTATCTTTAAAAAAATTGCATCTCTGGCTATAATGGGGGGATGGGTCTCTCCTGAATCTGAATGGACCTAATGCAATGAACAACACATTTTTATAGTTGTGGCCTCTGGGTGGGACAGGAAGAGAATAGTCTTTACAGGAGGGAGAACGGTCTGGCCTCCCCTGATTCCTTAGAATCCCTTGATTCCAAAGAATCAGGGAGAGCTGTCTGCAAAGAATATATGAACAAAAATTTCTGGCATCTTCCGCTACGTGATGTATGATTTAAGGAAAAGCTTGAGGGTCCTAATGTAGATTTGTTTTGACATGTTTCCGCCAGAAGACTGAGTGGAGAACCAGGATTCCTGGATTTTGGTTCTGTCTCTGCCATTGTTGACTTGTAGCATTGGGCATACCGCTTCATTGCCTCGGTCAAATGAAACAGTTGGACTTAATGACTGTGAGGTCATTTCCAAGTTCAAATATTTCACTGCTCCAGACTGAGAATATTGAACACCTATAGAAGAAGGTTATAAAACAACTCTTTGATTTCTGGTTGTCCTTTTCCTTCTTCAGTATCTAAGACAAGACCACCACTCTGCTGATCTGGATCCTAGCAGAAGCACTTTACCATGGTCTGTGTTTGCATGATCCTAAGTCACTCTGTATCTTTGAGGTTCCATTTTGGTTTTATAGGATAAATGAAGACAAATATCAGTAAAATAGGGTAGCTTTGAAGGACAAATGAGATTTACTATCAGATGTGGATATTCTCCTTTTACAAAGAAAGACTAGAGATAGTAGCAAAATCTGTAACGAAAGATGCCAAAATAAGTGAGAGTGGGCAGGGATTGTGGCTCAGCAGTAGAGCACTCGCCTAGCATGGGCGGGACCCGGGTTTGATCCTCAGTACCACATAAAAAATAAAGGCATTGTGTTGTGTCCATCTACACCTAAATAAATAAAGAAAGAAATAAAGAAGTGAGAGGAAGAAGATGAAGCTGGGGGCACCTGACTCACAGGACTCATTCCTTGAAGTCCTGTTCATGTGGTTCAGAGGTTGCAAAATTGGCCCTGAAGTTTTCTCTGGTTGAAGTAAAGAGAGAAATAAAATCAATTATCCCATTTGCAGTATCCAGGAGATTTTAAAAAATTCACTTCTTTAGGAGGTAAACATTCCTACTGAGACTTATTAGAGATTTCTCATAAAGAGGACTTAGTGAGATATAGTGAGCAACACAACCAGTGATGGTGGTATAATTCAGTAGTATATTTCCTAGAGCTCAGATAACCAGGGATAAAGTGCTTTAGCAACTGAGATTCCTAAGCAAATGGACAAACCCTGTCCCACCTCCATTACCCAGTGAATCATACCTCACAGCTGTGTACAGAGCAATGTGATTGCTGTGACCACTGACTCCCCCTGCATCAAAAGTCACCACCTGTAGAGACAGACAGGGTTTTCACTCAAAACTGTCAGAATGTTTCTTTTACTGCCTCAGCTTCCAAGTAGCTATTGCCATTCCCTTGGAAAGTAAAGGAGAGAGAAGAACGCTGGCATTTTTCAAATTCTGAGAATAGCTGAACTGATTTCTAAGCATATCAATGATGTGTAACTATTGGTTTGGCTGATTATACCATGGAGACTATTTTTATGGGTTTTACTGTTTACCGTGTACTCCTGGCCAGTGCAGCAGAGTAGAATTCACCATGACAGAAACTTGGATTTGAAATATCTTTTTACTTTTCTGCTTAGTCATTTATGAGCATATAGTTTTTCTGGCTGGCTCTTGTATGACCTTTGTTCAGGTAGACGTTGCCTGATTTATTTAGGTTCTTTTCCTTGTGCGATACTGCAGGTACAAAAGCTTCAAGAGGGCCAATGTCCACTCTGGGGTTGGGTTCATGGAAAAGGCTTTTCTTTTCATAGACTGTCTCTGTTTCCATTTTTATAGCTATGTCAACATCTCTTTATTAACTCCAAGTTCAGTCTAGGTTCTTACAATTCAATTCAGCACAGATGGATTAATAAGACCAAATGATATTTTAATAAGACAATCCAAAGAGTAATCTGAATAATGAAAGAAATATAGAAAACAGGACTAAGAAATAGAATGATTGGTTAGGAGGTGATGGAAAGAGGCAGGCTCTTCCCAAGGAAAGATGGCCATAGCATAGACGAAGGGACTTGGAACAGGACATAGAATAGTTTGAGAAGGGATTTACTCTTGCTCTTTTTTTTTTTTCTTTGCTTTTATTTTTAGAACTAGGATTGAACCTAGGGGTGCTTTATCACTGAGCTACATTTCCAAATCTTTTAAAAATTTTTTATTTTGAGATAGGGTCTTGTTAAATTGCCCAGGCTGGCCTTGAATTTATTATCTTCCTACTTCAGCTTCCCAAATTGCTGGGATTATAAGGGACATACTATTGAGCCTGGAGGTCTTTCTATTTTAATTATAAAACATGTTGATTGGCCCTCCTGAGATTCAGAATCTATTCTTTGGGACATTATGAATCTGAATTAGGTGAATTCAGAGTGATCTCAAGAGGGTTACCTGCTACCAGAGAGAAGGGTTCTGCCAGGGGTTCTACCCTCTTCATGAAATCTGTAAAGCTCTCTGATAGAGCCCATCTCTCCTTCCCTTTGTCTCAGGCCCTTATTGCAGTTTCCCTGGGATCAATTACTCTGCATACATAACCCACTTGAATCAAAGTGTGGAATATGATATGTCAAGAAATTTGTAATGTTTTGAACAACCCACAATAAAAAATTAAAAAAAAAAAAAAGAAAAAAAAGAAAAAAAAATTACTCTGCATAGGAAGGGTTTACCTGGAGTGGGTCAATCAAAACTGAGCATTCCTATTAGAAGCATCTACTTCCACCTCTCCCGAACATCAGCCCAATCCCTGAACTGTCATTCTAAAATCTTAATCATTTTTTTTCTTTAAATTTTTCAGTTGTAGATGGACACAATACCTTTATTTTATTTATTTATGTGGTGCTGAGGATTGAACCCAGTGCCCCATGCATGCGAGGCAAGCACTCTACCACTCTGCCACAATCCCAGCCCAAATTTTAACCTTTTAAAAAAAGAAAAAAGGGCTGGGATTGTAGCTCAATTGGTAAAGTGTTTGCCTCGCACGTGTGAGGTGCTGGGTTCGATCCTCAGCACCACATAAAAACAAATAAATGAATAAAGGTATTGTATCCATCCACAACTAAATTTTTTTTCTTTTTAAATTTTTTGTCTTCTTCCTTTTTAAAAAATATTTTTTAGTTATAGATGGATACAATACCTTTATTCATTTGTTTGTTTTTATGTGGTGCTGAGGATGGAACCCAGTGCCTCACACGTGCAAGGAAAGTGCTCTACCACTGAGCTACAGCCCCAGCCCTTAAAATCTTAACCTTTTAATGTAAAGCTCAGATCCCAGTTAAAGACAAGTTATCTTTAGAATGGTTATCAGTCTCTGAGGACTTGGTGTGAATGAGTGCTCTGGAGTAAGATTTCTTGCTAGGCTGAATAATCACCCCTCAAATATGTCCTAATCCCTGAAACCTGTAAATGTTATCTCATGTGGCAAAAGGAACTTTGCAAATGTAATTCAAGTTAAGGATTTTGCAATGGGGAGATGACCTTAGATTTGTTGGTGGGCCCAAATGTAATATCAGTGGTCCTCATAAGAAGGACATAGAAGAGAATCAAAGTCAGAGGAGAAGACCATATGTTAAGAGAAGCAGAAATTGGCATGATATGCTATGGAGGATGGGGTTGTAATCCAACACATTAACTCTAGCTCAGTGAAACTGATTTTGGGAATTTTAACCTCCAGAATGGTAAAAAACAAAAATAAAACAACAACAACAACAACAACAACAACAAAACATTAGCATTGTTCTAAAAAATAATTTATTAAAATAAAAAAGTTTAATTTCCGGTTCTGATCATGATTTTTCCATGTAACCCAACCAGGGGAGACTCAAGTCTAATCATCTCTGATACTAGTTATGCAAAGTTCCTTGGGAAAAATCACAGAACTGTATTAAAAGTTATTTCATCTTGGAATGTCTTGACTTCCTCATGTGTGAAATTGGTGGAGGTACAGATAAAACAAAGTCACATGAAAGCGTTTTAAAAACGTACAGCAGACAGTGCTAGAGTGTATTAACTCTAAGTCTGTCACCATCAGGTGGAGCTAGATTGTTATCAGAAGGAATTCTGACAATTCTGCCTGTAATCCCAGCTACTTGGGAGGCTAAAGAGGATGGCAACCTAGAGACCAGTCAGGGCAACTTAGTGAGAACCTGACTCAAAATTTCAAAAAGGCTGAGGGAATAGTTCAGTGGTAGAGTGTTTGCTTAGCATGCATGAGCTCCTAGGTTCAATAGCCAATGAAAAGCCAATCGTGGTAGTGCATGCTTCTAATCCTAGCAGCTCTGGAGGCTGATTCAGGAGGATCGCGAGTTCAAAGCCAGCCTCAGCGCTTATTGAGGCCCTAAGTAACTTAGCAAGACACCCTGTCTCTAAACAAAATATATAAAAAAAAGGCTGGGGATATTGCTCAGTGGTTAAGCACCCCTGGGTTCAATCCCTAGTACCCCAAAACAAGTGAATAGAGAGAGGATTATGGGTATGGGGAGGAATGCTGGAGGCCATTCCCTTGGCTAGGGGATTTGGGGCCATGTAGAATTCAGCACAATTGCTTTTTTTTTTTTTGGTGCTGGGGATCAAATCCAAGACCTCACATATATTAAGCACATGCTCTACTACTGTACTGAGCTATTTCTCCAGACCATGTTATTTTTGAAACTTTCCAAGGTATTTGTTTCTTCTTCATCCTATATCATCTTATACTCTCTCTCCTTCTTTATTTTTTAAAATTATTTTTTAGTTGTAGATGGACACAATGCCTTTATTTTATTTATTTTTATGCGGTACTGAGGATTGAACCCAGTGCTTCACATAGGTCAGGCAAGTGCTCTACCACCGAGCTACAACCCCAGCCCTCCTTCCTCCTTTCTATTGCAAGCTGGGCTGAGCTGATTGTATCCATATCCCTGGACTTTTGTAGATTTTTACATGACAATATTTCTTAAAAATTTTTTTTTAGTTGTTGATAGGCCTGTGTTTTATTTATTTATACGTGGTGTTGAGAATTAAACCCAGTGCTTCCCACATTCCAGGCAAGTGGGCTACTGCTGAGCCCTAGCTCCAGCCCCATATTTGTAGTTCTTCACAGAACTCCATCCACTTTTCTTCTTTCCTAGTTTGCAGAACTTTTGGATCAAAGGAAATCTTACTTGCTGCCCTCCCTAAATAAAAAAGATATCAGTGGGATACCTCAGTTTGTTTCTTCCTCCTCCTCTTTCTTCTATTTTTTTTTTTTTTTTTTTTGCGGGGGTTACCGGGGATTGAACTCAGGGGATTAAACTCAGGGTCACTCAACCACTGAGCCACATCCCCAGCCCTTTTTTGTATTTCATTTAGAGACAGGATCTTGCTGAATTGCTTAGGGCCTCACTAAGTTGCTGAGGCTGGCTTTGAACTCTATCCTCCTGCCTCAGCCTCCTAGGCCAATGGGATAACAGGCATGGGCCACTGTGTCTGGCTACTTCTACTTCTTCTTCTTTTTTTCTTGTGGTGCTAGGAATTGAATCCAGGGCCTCATGTGTGTGGGGGTGACCAGTACTCTACGACTGAGTGAATACTCACAGCCCTAGGGCATGCTGGTTTCTAAGATACTGGTTTTTAACCTGGGGATGGTTTTACCCATGGACATTGGCGATGTCTGGACACGTTTTTATTGTGACAGCTGAGGAGAGGGGTTGCTACCAGCATCTAAGGGGTAGAGGTCAGGGATGTAGCAAAACATCTACAATGCACAGGGTAGCCCCCATAATAAAGAACTATCCAGTCCCAAATGTCAATAATGCCGTAGTTGAGACACCCTGCTGTAAAGGAGCAGGGAGTAGGTGGATTTAGTTTGCTGTTGTAATCCTAGTTCTCATCACAGTAAATGTCCCATAACAGGCATTTAACAGATATGTACTGATTAAGGGTTAAAGGAGAAGTTAGGTGCAGTATCTAGCCAGCCTGACACCCAGAAAAGACAACAACCAACCTCCTGAGCTGCCTTCTGTGGAGGGCAACTTTACACTTTCAAGAGCCCTATCCACAAAGAGCCACTCTTTGTGGTTCTCATGATATTCCTTCAGTGAGCAGAGCAGGCAGCTTGCAAGCATATGATAGACATGGGGCCAGATGGAACCAATTCCTGTCATCACACCATAGTGAGGGCTGCAGAGCCAGCTTTGCTTCAGACAAGGGTGCTTTTGGTCTTATTCTGGCATGGATCAGGTGATAAATTCTCAGCGCTGTGCTCTCCACTTCTACCTATGTTTCTTTACTGGTGCTTCACTGTCTATTGCTATGCAGTTAGTACTTTTGGTTTGAATAGGGCTCCTGGAGATTCCCAAGATTTATGTATTCATCCAGGTACAGGACACTGCCCCTGAGAATTATCACCTGCCTAGTACTAACTAACCCCTCAGCCCTTGTCCTTCAGGGGCTGTGGGATTATATAAAAGAGCACTTAACTGTGTCACTAGGAGCTGAACACAAACTCATACTTAGCTCCACTATGGCTGGGTATGGCCACACTGGCTGTTTTAGGATGCTCCTATACCTCCATTGTGACAGTAAGTTCAGACCAAGGAAGTGCACTTTGATAACTTAAATTTTCTTATTAACAGCAGAGGATATTGCACATAATTTATTAATTATTTTTGAGCTGTTTTAAAGTGATTTCCTTGTTGACTGCAATTAAATTAAGATTCTCCTGACAATAAAGGCCCTTTACTGAATGAATGTGAACAGCAGCACACGTTCAGGAAAGACCTCCAGGCAATGAGAGCTCTCTCTTGGGATTTGTGCCAGTTTTTGGAGATTTTTAAAAGATGGTCCTGGCCTTCATGGACTTTATAATCTAATTTACAAGATATAAGTCTGCATCTTAAAGAATAAACAGCGAAATATGCCATATGTTCAGTGCAAACTGCAAATACTGTGGGAATCCCAAAGAGGGCTGAAGAAGTCAGGGAAGGCTTCTTGGAGAATGGATTCTGGATCACAAATCACTTTTCTGGGACTCAAATATAGGAAACTTTTCTGAAAGCAAGAAAGGGATGCCGAGCTGTCTGTGCCTTCAAGATTCCTCAACCCCAAATACTCAGGACCCAGGTTAGCTGCAACATGTTCTGAAAAAGAAACTTTGCCCTTCAGCAAGGATAAACTATAATTTCCAGTGTCCTGGATTAAAGTAAGGGCCAGATCAGGGAGGACCTTGAATTCCAAGTTGAATAAGATGAGAGTAAATCCTGAAACCAGGAGTGACTGGGGGAGACCAGTACCTCTTATACACTGAGAGAGCAGAGGAGGGATAGTATTTGGGGATTTGTTCTAGGGAAGCCACTACCATGGGAAAATGGTGTGCAAGGCTGAAGGACCAACCTGAAGATCAGCTCTGTCTAAACATCTAGGTTATGGCCCTGAGAAGTTCTGACTATGAAGGTGGGGAACTGTGGGTAAGAGGAACAAGGCCAGCTGCTGTCAGCACAATTGGGCATGTGACTCCTAATGCATGCATCTAACACTGCTTTCATGCTTATATCCTCTGGGAAGGGACAGTGGGATGTATAGGCCTGAAAAATCATAAAAACCATTTTTTTCCATTCAGGAAAAGAAAGAGGGGAAGAACAAGTTGGCGGGGTTAGGGATCTTGAGGCCTACTTATTTCTTAACCTTTAAGTGACTCAGAATGAGCCAGTGAGATGGATATTTTGTCTATGTATATGGTTTCAGTTATATTTTTGTCATTAGAAAACAGTTTGGTCTAGCAAAGTGGAGCATGCCTCTAATTCTAGCAACGTGGAAAGTTGAGGCAGGAAGTTACCAGTCTCAGCAAAGCAGCAAGACCCTCAGCAAGATTCTGTATCAAAATTAAAAAAATGAAAAAAACTGGGGATGTAGCTCATTGGTAAAGTGCCCTGGGTTCAATGCCCAACACAAACAAAACAACACAACACAAATCGAAACAAAAACAGTCTCACTGGCCATGGTAGTACATACCTATAATCCAGCTATTTGAGGATGACAGGAGGATGGCAAGCTAGGGACCAGCTCAGCAACTTGGAGAGACCTTGTCTCAAAATGAAAAATAAATAGGCCCTTGGGTTCAATTCCCAGGACCACAAAAAAACAATCTGATTCATATACTAGTGAAAATCCTCATTTAAGAACAGTCGATGGGGCTGGGGTTGTGGCTCTGTGGCAGAGTGCTTGCCTAGCATGTGTGAAGCACTGGGTTCGATTCTCAGCACTGCATATAAATAAATTTAAAAAATAAAGGTTCATTGACAACTAAAAAAATATTAAAAAATAATAAAGGTCTAGTTTACAATGATGAATTCATCATTTATAAAAGCTTAATATATTTCTCTGCAGGCAGAACTCATTATTTATCTGTTCATTCATTCATTTATTGTACTGGGGATTGAACCTAGGAGTGCTTTACCACTGAGCTATATCTCCAGCACTTTTTATATTTTATTTTGAGACAGGGTCTTGTTAAGTTGCAGAGGGGCTCCCATAAGTTCAGAGGTTGGCCTTGAATTTGCAATCCTCCTGCCTTACTCTCCCAAATCACTGGGACTGCAGGCCTGTGTCACCACACCCAGCAAGGAATCATCTTTTAAAGAACATTACCCAAAATTTAAATCAAATGAGAAGGGCTTTAAATGGTGGAATTTTAGATATTAACCCATGAAGAAGTATTATTATTATTATTATTATTATTATTATTATTATTAGTAGTAGTAGTAGTAGTAGTAGTAATAAAAACAAAACAAAAAAATCTTACTGGTTTTACATGCCTGTAATCCCAACAACTCGGGAGGCTAAATTAGGAGGATTACAAGTTCAAGGCCAGCTTCCACAACTTAGCAAGACTCTGTCTTGAAATTAAAAAAATTAGAAAAAGGACCGGGGATGTAGTTCAGTGGTAGTGCACCCAGAGTTCAATCCCCAGTGCTGCAAAAATACAAAAACAAAAATTCCTACCTTCATCACTTGCCTACACTGGTCAAGCTGTCTGGGCTCTGAAAACCTCCATTTCCTCAATGTTAAGTTAAAATTATAACATTTACCTTAAAAGTGAAAATGATATTCTAAATGTGAAACTGCTTGGCACAAGGTGAAATTCTTTATCAATGAGAGTCACGGTGGGACTCTTGGGACTCTAAGCTTTCAGGAGGTGAGGCAGAGGTGGGGGAGGGAGGACATCATTTGAAAAAACCTCTGCCTCTATCAGAACATTGATAATTCAGCTATTTGGTTTCACAAAAGATCTAGAAGAATTAAAAGGTGTGTTTGTTCCTTGCAGGTTTAGAAGAGAGCACTGGAAGTTTTGGTTTTTTTTATGGAGTGGCCTTGGAGCAAAACTGGAAGTAGGAAGGCAGTCACAGGACAAGTTGCAGAAACCAACTGTTGAGACAGGACAGGAATCCCAGGCTTTTCACTAGGGATGTGAATACTTACCAGGTTGATGTCATTGACCTCTACATGCTGGAGGAGAATGTTGGCCACACGCTCTGTGTCCCACTGCACTCCTGGATCATCTGGGAAATCACTGCAAGTGAGAAGCACACAATTTGAACATTTGTTCAAGAGCAAACTTCTCCCTAAGATCCCATAGATGTATGTCTGGTTTTGTGACAGGAATTACATTGGAAGTTGGGGGGATTCCCTACCCTTGAGTTACTGAGATTTCAGCTAAAGAGATTAAGCTTTACACATAAAATAATTTACATGTGAAACAATGGATAATTCCATACAGTATACTTTCAGAGCTTTGTGCTTGTTGCTGAGGGGAAGTAACAGCATCAATGAGACAAGGCTCTGTCCATAAATTGGGGAGACAGATGTGCTAACAATGAACTTGAACAAAGACAGTATAATGCACTTTCTAAGACTAACAGTAAAAGGCTGGGGCACAGGGCTGGGGTTGGGGCTCAGTGGTGGAGCGCTCGCCTAGCGTGTGTGGGCCCTGGGTTCAATCCTCAGTACCACATATAAATAAATAAAATAAAGGCATTGTGGCCAATTACACCTAAGAAAAATAATAATAACAAAAAGGCTGGGGCACAGTGGTGCATGCCTGTAATCCAACCTGTTGGGAGGCTGAGACATGAGGATTGTCTAGGCAACATAGTGAGACCCATCTCAAAATTAAAAATAAATAAATAAATAAAGTAACCATGCCACCCCCACTTTTTAAAGGTTTGAACCAGGAGCATTCTACCACTAAGCTACAATGCTAGTCTTTTTTATGTTTTATTTTTAAAACAGCGTCTCCCTAAATTGCTTGGGCTGCCCTTGAACCTGTGCTCCTCCCAAATTACAGGTATTACACATGTGTACCACCACACCCAGCCATAACCATGCTTTGATTAAAAAGTACAAAGATACTTCATTTAAATTCATAAACATCTTTGAAGGGAGCTTTTACAGAGGAAGTTGAATAGCCTGCTTGTGAGGCAGTTAAGAATTGGACATGAACTCTGGTTTTCTGACTGCCAAGAAGTCTTAGTACTAGGAACCAGTTATGTTCTCCCTCCACCAGGAATGGGGCCCACCATGTCATAGAAGCAGAGGTCTGTGTCAGAGTAATCTACAATTTATCATAGCCTCCACCAGGTCAAACTTATCTTCTCCTACCTGCTGAAATACTTTCTGCCCCAATTTTTGTACATGAATCTATGACATTACCCGATATGAGACCAATGATTCAATATGACCCCTTTTGCATTATTCGCAATCTTAAAAATAGATTCCCATCTCTCAGTTCAGGTAGGAGTAATACCCATAATGCCACTGAGAACTCAAGAACTCTTTTTGCTCCCTATCTGGCAGGCTGCTATAACCTCCCCAGGGACTAGAGCCATTATTTGACCGTCTTAGGACCTTGGGCAAACCTGGAGCTTTTTCATCAGGAAAATGACATTAAATAGTATCATTTCCTTTGTTTCACTGGCTACCTTATCAACCCCTCACAGTACTTTCTATAGAGGAAAGTTTTATATAAAGTCTTGTCCTGTCAGCCAATCCATGTAGTTCTCAGGATGCTCATGCAGTGAGAAGGGCAGACTTCAGCAAGTGGGGAAGGGTCAAGAAGAAAGTAGGAACAGTATGAAATCCAGCCTTGTTCTCTGGAAATGGAATATAAAATATGACTAGCTGAGCTCAGACTGTGAAGGAGAAGTAAAGATACAGGAACCACAGAAAGTACTCTGAAGTGATAAGAGCTATACACATGGCTCTTGGCTGGGAGAGCCAGATAAATGTATCAAAACATCATTTTAGAAACTGAATACATGAATAATAGTCTCATGGAACTTTAGCACACAAGATGGAGGAGCAGTCTAAGAAAAAGGGCAGGAGAGTGTTGACTATGCCTACTAATTCTGGGTTCTGAAATGCTGAAAAATGAATCCAGAGTGGGAAGCTCATGCACGGTACACCTCCACACCTTTCTTCCCCTGACATGCTGAGGAAGCCAATAATTGGGGGGACTCTGGACTGCCAATGTCTGCTCTGTGAGGTGACACATCTGATATGGCAGCACTGTTATTATGACCAATTCCAAGCACCTCTTGTCAGGCATTCAAGTTTTTCCCCCAGTCTGTCTCCTATTTTGATCCACTTTGCTTCTCTAGGTGAGAGCGCAAAGGAGATAACACAGATGAAGAACACCTAAAACTGAAGGAGCTATGCAAATGTAAAAATAGTGGCATTACTGCTACAATAGATTAATTTAAGCCCTTAGAAAAAAGAAAGAACTCCTCTGTCTTCCTTGCTCTGAAGTCCTCTGCAGAGCATTCTAGGTGAGGTATCAAACAAACCACTATAGTTAAAGCAGGAAATTCTAAAAATTCTTTTTCTTCTTCATTTATTGTTGTTGTTGTTGTTCTGGGGATTGAACCTTATGTATGCGAAGCAAGCACTCCACCAACTGAGCTATATCCCCATACCACTAGGAAATCAGAAGAACTCTTATTATTTAAAATTTTTTTTGTAGTTATAGATGGACACAATATCTTTATTTATTTTTATGTGGTGCTGAGGATTGAACCCAGGGTCTTACATGTGCGACGCAGGCACTCTACCACTGAGCTATAGTCCCAGCCCCAAGAATTCTTATTTACATGTGTTTCCATCTGTTTGAATCTCTATTTTGTAGTTATTTTAGAAAATATCTTTAATGAACAGTTTTTCAACAGGTATGCAATTTAAACTAAAAAACCCACAAATATGGAGGTGTAAACTCAAATTGTGTTTTCTATTGTTGGGAAGCGTGATTAAAAAAAGTTTGGAGATCACTGGTCTAATCTACTCACTGTTCATTTTATTTAATTTCTTTTCTGGGTATTTTATTACTTATTCTTTTTATTACTTAATTCTTTTTTTTTTAAATTTTTTATTGTGGGTTGTTCAAAACATTACAAATTTCTTGACATATCATATTCCACACTTTGATTCAAGTGGGTTATGAACTCCCACCTTCACCCCATACACAGATTGCAGATTCACATCAGTTACACATCCATTGATTTACAAATTGCCATACTAGTGTCTGTTGTGCTCCGCTGCCTTTCCCATCATCCACCCTCCCCCCTCCCCACCTCTCCCCTCCCCTCCCCTCCTCTCTCTCTACCCCCTCCACTGTATAACCCTGAGGGTCTCCTTCCATTACCGTGCAATTTCCCTTCTCTCTCCCTTTCCCTCCCACCTCTCATCCCTGTTAAATGTTAATCTTCTTCTCCTGTTCTTCGTCCCTACTCTGTTCTTAGTTACTTTCCTTATATCAAAGAAGACATTTGGCATTTGTTTTTTAGGGATTGGCTAGCTTCACTTAGCATAATCTGCTCTAATGCCATCCATTTCCCTGTAAATTCTATGATTTTGTCATTTTTTAATGCAGAGTAATACTCCATTGTGTATAAATGCCACATTTTTTTAATCCATTCGTCTATTGAAGGGCATCTAGGTTGGTTCCACAGTCTTGCTATTGTGAACTGTGCTGCTATGAACATCGATGTAGCAATGTCCCTGTAGCATGCTCTTTTTAGGTCTTTAGGGAATAGACCAAGAAGGGGAATAGCTGGGTCAAATGGTGGCTCCATTCCCAGCTTTCCAAGAAATCTCCATACTGCTTTCCAAATTGGCTGCACCAATCTGCAGTCCCACCAGCAATGTACAAGTGTACCCTTTTCCCCACATCCTCGCCAGCACTTGCTGTTGTTTGACTTCCTAATGGCTGCCAATCTAACTGGAGTGAGATGGTATCTTAGGGTGGTTTTGATTTGCATTTCTCTGACAGCTAGAGATGTTGAGCATTTTTTCATGTACTTGTTGATTGACTGTATGTCCTCCTCTGAGAAGTGTCTGTTCAGGTCCTTGGCCCATTTGTTGATTGGGTTGTTTATTCTCTTATTGTCTAATTTTTTGAGTTCTTTGTATACTCTGGATATTAGGGCTCTATCTGAAGTGTGAGGAGTAAAGATTTGTTCCCAGGATGTAGGCTCCCTATTTACCTCTCTTATTGTTTCTTTTGCTGAGAAAAAACTTTTTAGTTTGAGTAAGTCCCATTTGTTGATTCTAGTTATTAACTTTTGTGCTATGGGTGTCCTATTGAGGAATTTGGAGCCCGACCCCACAGTATGTAGATCGTAGCCAACTTTTTCTTCTATCAGACGGCGCGTCTCTGATTTGATATCAAGCTCCTTGATCCATTTTGAATTCACTTTTGTGCATGGCGAGAGAAAGGGATTCAGTTTCATTTTGTTGCATATGGATTTCCAGTTTTCCCAGCACCATTTGTTGAAGATGCTATCCTTCCTCCATTGCATGCTTTTAGCCCCTTTATCAAATATAAGATAGTTGTAGTTTTGTGGATTGGTTTCTGTGTCCTCTATTCTGTACCATTGGTCCACCCGCCTGTTTTGGTACCAGTACCATGCTGTTTTTGTTACTATTGCTCTGTAGTATAGTTTGAAGTCTGGTATCGCTATACCGCCTGATTCACACTTCTTGCTTAGCATTGTTTTTGCTATTCTGGGTCTTTTATTTTTCCATATGAATTTCATGATTGCTTTCTCTATTTCTACAAGAAATGCCATTGGGATTTTGATTGGCATTGCATTAAACCTATAGAGAACTTTTGGTAATATCGCCATTTTGATGATGTTAGTTCTGCCTATCCATGAACAGGGTATATTTTTCCATCTTCTAAGATCTTCTTCTATTTCTCTCTTTAGGGTTCTGTAGTTTTCATTGTATAAGTCTTTCACCTCTTTTGTTAGGTTGATTCCCAAGTATTTTATTTTTTTGGAAGATATTTTGAATGGAGTGGTTGTCCTCATTTCCATTTCAGAGGATTTGTCGCTGATATACAGGAATGCCTTTGATTTATGCGTGTTGATTTTAAATATTACTTAATTCTTTTCTTGCTATTTGGCTCAGGCTGGTCTCAAACTCCTGGGCTGATGTGATCCCTCCTCCTCCTGCCTTAGCTCCTGATTAGCTGGAAGTACAGGTGCATAACATCATGCCCAGCTACTTTTCTGGTAT